GAATGTGTCCAGAGGAGGGCGACTAAAATGATCAAGGGTCTGGAGAACAAGCCCTATGAGGAGCGGCTTAAGGAGCTGGGCATGTTTAGCCTGAAGAAGAGAAGGCTGAGAGGAGATATGATAGCCATGTATAAATATGTGAGAGGAAGCCACAGGGAGGAGGAGGGAGCGAGCTTCCTTTCTGCTTCCCTGGAGACTAGGACGCAATGGAACAATGGCTTCAAACTACAAGAGAGGAGATTCCATCTGAACATGAGGAAGAACTTCCTGACTGTGAGAGCTGTTCAGCAGTGGAACTCTCTGCCCCGGAGTGTGGTGGAGGCTCCTTCTTTGGAAGCTTTTAAACAGAGGCTGGATGGCCATCTGTCAGGGGTGCTTTGAATGCAACATTCCTGCTTCTTGGCAGAATGGGGTTGGACTGGATGGCCCACGAGGTCTCTTCCAACTCTTTGATTCTATGATTCTAAGAGGAAAGGCAGCATTTTTGGCTTTGCTTTGCTTCCTTGCGCTGACCATGAAACTGACTTTGGGAGGATTCCGAGGTTTACAAAATTCAAAGAAAAATATATTGGGTGAGTTTCGATTCTTAAGTTTTCGGCAAATGTCGGATATCGCGTTGTAAATATGAATTTAACAAATTTGATATGATTTACGAGGACGAATGAAAAAATTGCACATGCCTAGTGTATACCTGAAAGTCTCTTGATGACTTATGGCGAGCCCATGAGTTCCATCTTGTTTTCTTTCATTGTGAATCCTTGGATGTTGATTTCTTCCTCCTAAATACATCCTGAAGTACTGGAGTACTACGGGTGGTCTCCCATCCAGGCATTAACCAGGGCTCACCCTGCTTAACTTCCACAATGAGATGGGATCTGGGGGATTTAGGGAATTTAAGCCATCTCCTTAGATCAGGCATGGACAAACTTCGGCCCTCCCTCTAGGCATTCTGGACTGCCGGTAAGCTATTAGGAATTGTGGGAGTTGGAGTCACCTGGCGGGAGGGCCGAAGTTTGCCCGTGCCTGCCTTAGATGTCTATTTCTCTGGGAAATAACTCTTCCAGAATTGTAAAAAAAGTAGAAATATTGTTGAGAAATATCGTACTTGCTTTCTCCCACAGTAAGGAGAAATCTGTATTATTTCATTCTCACATGTAAGGACAAAAGTCATGGATTTACATATACACTAGACCATTCTATGTATCTCTCAGCAAACTACAAATCCCAAGTTTCTGTTGAGTAGCTTTGCAACAGTAAATGGCTGTTAAGTGTTAAGTGAAAGGTGTTTCAGCTGCTGGGCAGGATACAGCACATCAGGTATTCCTTTTATCTCTATCCATACATACGTGTACATTTGTATGTTTGTAACACAAAGGCTCCTCCATGGCTTGATGGGTCTGGACCAAACCTGGGACACATATCCTTCATGATCAAACTTAAAATACTGGCAGGGTTTCATCTAAAAAGAACCACCACTTTCAGGGCTAGGCCCATACAATAAAGAAATACATATGTATGTAGCACACTCAGATGCTACCACAAGAGGGCAGAATATAGATAGAAATGCTGCCTCAGAGGGCAATGACAAAGGGAAGTGTGAGTATGTATGTTTGTAACACAAAGGCTCTTCCAAGGCTTGATGGATCTGAAGCAAACCTGGGGCACATACCCTTCATGATCCCACTTAAAATACTGGCAGGGTTTCATCTACAAAGAACCACACCTTTCAGGGATAGGGCCCCCAAAACAAACATGTATGTGTGTATGTGTGTGTGTGTAGTGCTCAGATGCTGCCACAAGAGGGTGGCATATCAATAGAAATGCTGCTTCAGAGGGAGAGATGACAAAGGGAAATGTATGTGTGTATGTTTGTTTGTAACTCAAAGGCTTCCCCATAGCTTGATGGATCTGGACCAAACCTGGGACACATATTCTTCATCATCCCATTTAAAATACTGGCAGGGTTTCATCTACAACAAAATTATCACTTCCAGAGATAGGGCCCCCAAAACAAATAAATACTTATATATATAATGCTCAGATGCTACCATAAGAGGGCAGTATACAGATTGACTACCTCATAGGGAGAGATGATAAAGGGAAGTGTATGTTTGTAAAACAAAGGCTCCTCCAAACCTGGAACACATACCTCTTATGATCCCATTTAAAATACTGACAGGATCTCATCTACAAAGAACAACCCTTTGGGGACTAAAATGAATAAATATGCATGTATGTAGTGCTCTGATGCGACCACAAGAGGGCAGCATATAGACAGAAATGCCTCAGAGAGAGAGATAACAAAGGGAAGTGTGTGTGTGTATGTTTGTATCACAAAGCATACCCCATGGCTTGATGGATCTGGATCAAACCTGGGACACATACCCTTCATGATCCCACTTAAAATACTGGCAGGGTTTCATCTACAAAGAACCACCACTATTAGGGCTAGGGCCCCCAAAACAAATAAATACTTTTGTATATAATGCTCAGATGCTACCATAAGAGGGCAGTATACAGATTGACTACCTCTGAGGGAGAGATGATAAAGGGAAGTGTATGTTTGTAAAACAAAGGCTCCTCCATAGCTTGATGGATTTGGACCAAACCTGGAACACATACCCCTTATGATCCCACTTAAAATACTGACAGGTTTTTGTCTACAAAGAACCTCCCTTTTCAGGGCTAGGACCTCAAAAACTAATAATATGTATGTGTGTATGTAGTGCTCAAGCCCTCAGCTACCATGGCTACATGGGACTTTGTCCTCTCTCCCTCTCAGGCAGTCTATATCCTGCCCTCTTATGGTAGCATAAGGGGGCAGCATATAGACTGCCTCAGAGAGGACAAAAGGAAATGTATGTATGTATGTATGTAACACAAAGGCTCCCCCATGGCTTGAGGGATCTGAACAAAACCTGGGACAGATAACCTTCATGATCTCATTGTTGTGGCTGAGCTATTTTCTGACGATGAGGATGATGGGATTCAGATTCCTGTTGGGTTTCAGCTTCCTGTCTCTTTGTCTGTGCCTCAAATCTCTGAGCCTGCTTCCGAGGCTCTCACAGACAGTGCAGTGTCAACACAGCTGTTTTCGCCAGAAAGGAATGTTAACGAAGGGAATAGCGAGCAGGTGCCTTCCCACGATGATACCRAAAGGGCAGATAAGGATTTGACCCGAGAAGCTCGCCTTGTTCTCCGGGTCAGGCGGAGTTCGCATCTGGCAAGCAGACGGGAGGCTAGCTCGGTGCGAGKTCATCGCAATGCTTTCATGATGCTGAGAGCCTAATGTTTTGATGTTAGAAAGGTATTTAGGCCTCTTGGAAACTCTGTGAAAGCGTCAGTTCAATGTCCCTTATTGGCCTGAAAGCTTCATGGGATAATCTTAGCCYGGAAAGCAGCACGCTTGGGACTTCTTGCATTGTGATTCTTGGGGCAAATGTATCATTCCTTGTACCTGGGACTCTGGTTTGAACTTTGCCAATAGGATTACGTCTCCTGCTTTTACCTGAAGATCTTTGGAACTGTATTCTGCGTTTAACCTTTTTATCTGGGACTTTGCAATGGTTATTCTTTATTTCGACTTGGATTTTTTCCTCAATAAACTATAAAACTACAGCTCTTGTGTGGTGGTGTTTAGAAGCAAGGTGAAGCCTACTCTGAGTTGCAACACCCACTTAAAATGTTGTGATAGAGTCTGCTGGCAGTGATAGTAACACTAGTTGTATTAGGAGAGGCAGGAAAACTACTCGCGAGCAAGACTATGATGAAGAGCAACAAAGGAAAAGAATCCGGGAGATACTTAGTGAGCCAACAGATGAGGATTCTTTTGAGGGTTTTGATGCAAATGAAATGGATGATGGGATATCAGATTCTGGGTCTGATGGGATGGAATGGACAAGGGTTCGAGAGATTCAAGATATTTGTGCTGAACCCACAAGCAGTGACACATTTGAAGGTTGGAAAGTGAAGACTTGGATGGGACTTGGGGAACTTCAGGATTAGACCAGAGATGGACTACTTGGAGGAGTGGTGGAAGACGCACAGCTGGTAATAGGTTGGGCCAAACTGGGGGTGACTCCAGTTCGGATGAGGAGCTGCAACAAGATACAGCTGGGACACGGGTGTTGGCTGAATCAAGTTCTGATGAGGACTTGTAGATAAAAAGGGAGTGTTTGCTATTGTAGCCTTGCAATCGGCAAGGAGTCTTGTTGGGCGCTTTCTGGATCTTTGCTACAGAAGACGGGTTGGAAAGAAGACTTTGGGACGTAAGTTATGCTCTGGGTTTTAGCAGCAAAGGGGGCCTGGAACTGTGTGGGTTTATGCTGGACTGCACTGTTTTGATGTTTGCATTAGCTGCCGTATTGCCCCGCTGCTTTGGCTCCTTGTGTTTATTCATCGGATCGGGACCTGACCTGGCAGCTGTTTCGTCTCTCTTTGGATCGGACCGGACTGGACTTCATTCTCTGTCGTTACTCTCTCTCCTCCACATCTATGGCTGAGCGTCTGGAGCTGGCGTTATCTACATTCCTGCACTCCTGCTGTGTTTGTGGCTTGGGTTTCTTTTTACAACCCTTGAAAGGCTGCATTTAAGCATTTTTTTGAGTTTAATTCAAGTTATATCTCTGGTTAATCCAGATTATATTCTGTTGGGGTTTTGTGGGTTCTTTCGCCTGTTTGGGCTTTTTTCACACTGTAAACTAAGTGTTTTTTGCCCTGTAGTTTTGTTTTGGGCTGATTTTGTGTTTGTTTGAACAATAAACTATACTCCTTCAATTTGGCATCTGACCTTGACATAAAATATTGGCAGGTTTTCATCTTCAAAGAACCACCCTTTCCAGGGCTAGGGCCTCCAAATTGAATTAATACATTTGTATGTAATGCTCAGGTGCTACCACAGGAGGGCAGTATACAGCGAGAAAGACTGCCTCAGAGGGAGAGATGACCAAGGGAAGAGAGAGAGGACATTGTCCGTTGAATCACAAGACCCACTCGGATGCTTCGGAAAAATAATCATCTTTATTGCACAGGGAGAGGGTCTCGGAGGATTGGGACGTGGAAACCCACTGCCCAGGATGCAGGAGGTGAACCTTAAACTGGAAATCCCAAAAACCAGAGGGGTGGAAGGAAGCAAAGAAGATTCCTCTCTCTTACTGCAGCTGTCCACCAACTTCTGCAGCCAGGAAAGAACTCCCTCCAAATGCAAACAAACTGCAGAACACCCCCACAACCCTTTATCCCTTTGCAGAACTTGGAAACATTTATTTTATTCTTGCACTTTGCTCCCAGAAGCCGCAATGGCCACATGGGATTTTGCAAAGCAGCAGTGCCCAGAAGAAGTGCCTGTTGCGTTCCCTTTCTGGGACATTTAGACCTCTGTTGCATTTTGGGGAGACTCTGGCCCCATTCTGTTTCCTTCCTGTCTGCACAGTGCAAGAAATAGGCGCTTTGGAAGGCAAGTTACCCTTCTCATAGAGGTCAAGCCCTTTCCCATGCAGTTTACCCAGACTGCATGGCTCAACCGACACAAGTGCAAGATCTTGAGGTTTGCTGCAACTTCGAATTGGAGCAGACTTGCTCTCCTTTTCCCAAAACGGGTGAAAAACGAGTGCTGACGAGGCCTTCAGCATGCCAGCACGCTGCAGAACGCAAGGCCTTCTTTGCCCATGGAACGACATTTAGAGGAGGAAAATAAACCCCTCCCAAAATTAACTTAAACACCGTGAAGAAACATTTCACCCTGATTGGTTTGTTCAAACCGTGAAAACACCAACGCTTTTGTGGGAAACGAAACCAAGGTGGCGGTGGTAGAGGGAACGCTCTCCTCAATGCTGACCGTGTCTTGGGGTCAAGCATTTCGCCAAGGATGGCCGCTGCGTGCAAGGGCTTCCTCCTTGTTCGTCCGCAGCCAAGCAGGACCCGCTGGATGGACGGGGCTTTGCTGTCGCGCCGGTGGAGAGGCCTCTCCTTCTCACAAGTGGCCCGTGAAGCAGAGGAGGAGCAGCAGGTGGAGGGTGAGGAGGTAGGCCCCGGCCAGGAGCGGGAGGCGCCGCCGGGAGCAGAAGAGCCCGCGAAGCACACGGCGTAGTCCGGCACCCCCACCTCGGGTCTGGAGGGAGGAAGAACAAGGAAAGGTTGATGTATTGTCAATTTAAGGAATCAAACAATAACTCAGGCCAGGCTTGAGAGCACAAAGCTATCGCCCAGCCATTTGGCAAACACCGGCCTTTCTTAATCCAGTCAACTAGATATTTCATCATTGTATTGTCGAAGGCTTTCATGGCCGGAATCACTGGGTTGTTGTAGGTTTTTTCGGGCTCTATGGCCATGTTTTAGAGGCATTCTCTCCTGACGTTTCGCCTGCATCTATGGCAAGCATCCTCAGAGGTAGTGAGGTCTGTTGGAACTAGGAAAAAGGGGTTTATATATCTGTGGAATGACCAGGGTAGGACAAAGGACTCTTGTCTGTTGGAGCTAGGTACGGAGTTTAAGATCTTCTGGGGAGGCCCTGCTCTTGGCCCCACCTCTGTCTCAAACATGCTTGGTAGGGATGAGGGACAGGACCTTCTTGGTGGTGGCCCGCCTGTGGAATTCGCTCTCTGGGAAAATTAGGTTATTGTCCTCCCCCCTCTCCTTCAGAAAGAAGTTGAAGTTGAAAATGTGGATGTGGGACCAGGCCTTCAAGTAATTACGCTGACAATGACAATGACAATGATGACAATTGCTATGGTAATGGACTACGGAGAAGCTTGATGGAATCTCCAACCACAGAATCTGGGTAGATAAGGCCACAAGGCTGTTCTATTTAAGCATATTTTTAATCGAATTGACTTAATTATTGGTTTTTATTATGTATTTTATTATGTGTACATGGAGGCATCAAATCGTTGCCGGCTGGAAGCTGTGTTAGGTCATTCACATCCCGGCCAAACTTGAACCTTTACCTTGCTGAAGGAGCCATCCGGAGGACCAGTCAGCAGCGCCTGCTCCGGACCGAGGGGGATGTCGATGCTGGTGTCCAGAGAGTGCGCCCACTCAGCCGACTCCAACCTGGGTAGAGGAAGGCAGAGAGAAGCAGAGAAATTAGATAAGACAGATAAGGCTATAGCAAAGACATTTGCAAACCTATTTTGGAAATTCCCCTCTCTCCTGAATCTTTCATCATCCATTGGCTTCTAGACACTGGCGTTAGGCCAGGATGGAGTAAATGAAGGTGGAGGGATGGCAGGCTGTGCCCAGAGTAACAAACATCTGATTTCCAAATGACTTCCTGGTTAAGAACAAGGCTGAGACAACAGGAAATAAATGGAATCTCCCTCTCGGAAGGAAAGGGACTCCACAATTAATTTTGAAAGGAAGCTTTGCTCTTTTAGAAATGACAGATGGCTGAATGGAAGGAAGGATGGATGCATGAATAGATAGATAGATGAATAGTCAGATAGATGGATGCATGAATCAATGGATGGATGCACAAATGGATGGATGCACAAATGGATGGATGGATGGATGGATGGGTGCGTGCATGAATAGATGGATGGATGGATGAATAGATGGATGGATGGATGGATGGATGGATGAATAGATGAATGGATAGATGGATGGATGCATGGATAGATGGATGGATGGATAGATGGATGCATGCATGGATGGATGGATGGATGGATGGATGGATGGATGGATGGATGGATGGATGGATGGATGGATGGATGGATGGATTAGAATAGCACAGGAGACAAGGTGGAACTGTTCCCTGGCCCCCTGTTGTTGTTGTTCATGATGGATGGATAGGTGGATGCATGCATGGATGTATGGATGGATGGATAGATGGATGGATGGATGCATGAATAGATGGATGGATGCATGAATAGATGGATGGATGGATGGGTGGATGTATGGATGGATGAATAGATGGATGGATAGATGGAGGGAGGGATCAATGGATGAATAGATGGATGGATGGATGCATGAATGAATAGATAGATAATAGATAGATAGATAGACAGATAGACAGATAGACAGATAGACAGACAGACAGACAGACAGACAGATAGATGGATGCATGTATCAATGGATGAATGCACAAATGGATGGATGGATGGATGGATGGATGGATGAATGAATGCATGAATAGATGGATGGATGGCTGAATAGATGGATGGATGGATGGATGGATGGATGGATGGATGAGAGATGGATGGATAGATTGATGAATGGATGGATGAACGGATGGTTAAATAGATGAATAGATGGATGACTTGATAATCGCTTTGGGTCCTGTTTTGGGAGAAAAGCAGGATATAATAAAGAATTATTATTATTATTATTATTATTATTATTATTATTATTATTATTATTATGAATAGATGAATGGATGGATAGAGAGATAGATCAATTGATTGACCCTGTGCATTTGCCCTGAAGTCACCTGTCCACTTATGGTGACCCCACAGATCTCATAGGCTTGTCTTAGGCAAGGGACACTCCTGTGGTGGTTTCTTCTGAAACAGAGCCTACAACCCTTGGTCTTCCTTGGGGATCCTTGGGCCATGGGACGCGCAGAGACACTCAACACAGACCTGCGGATGTGATCCTGCGCGGCGGCAAAGGCCTCCTCGGCCGCCAGGCGCCGGTCCTGCTCCTCTTGCAAAAGCTCCTCGAGCTGAAGCAGGCCCTGCTTGGCGCTGCTTTGCTCCTGCTTAGCCTCCGAGAGCCTGCCAAAGAGAGGAGAGAAGGGCCGGCTCCCATTAGCAGTCCTCCACAGCATTCAACAAACGTAGACCACCACTGCAAAGGCAACCAGGAGGCTGGATGTCCCCCTCATCTTTTCATGAACTAGATCATACCCTGGATCCCTCCGCCCTCCTCTTCCTCCCCACATCTTGACCGTTCTGCTCTTCCCTGATACTCACTTGGCCTGCAGCTCTTGCAGCTCCGGGGTGTAGCTCTCTCTGGGGGGCTCACTCCTTTCCTGGGGGGCTCCAGGGGCAGCGTCAATTAAGTGGAGCTCCTGAGGTAGAAAGGACACAGCTATGGCTCTAAGGAAGGACCCCACTGGAGCCTTTGTCATCTTCTCAACATGCCTTAAGTGTTGTCGGATTTGCTAGTACGTGAAGTGATTTATAGTTTCCGAATCATGACATCCCTGAACCGCTACAAGTGTCCCAGAAGCAAGCAAAGAATACAGCACAGTCCTTTCACAGCAAAAACACACTTCAACCCTGTCTGCCAGCAGAGTCCAACTTCCAGCATCCGACCTTATCTACACAGTGTTTAGTAAACTCTTTCTTTGTACTTGCAAACAATTAGAGTCATCAGATAGTCACATACAACATTGGCAGATGGTCATACTGAGTCACACCGGAGAGAGGAAGATGGAGCCTTTCATCCTCCTTATATATCGGCTGTTAGGAATTGTGGGAGTTGAAAGGCCGAAGTTTGCCCAGGAAGTGGATACTGTTAGGAAAGTAGTCTATAGCTACTGTGATATCCATTACGTTTTCATCTTGTTTTTGTTTGCAACTTGGGAGTTAGATATTTGAACGAGTCGACTTATTGTTTGATCGGTATGCTGCCCGAAACTCCCAGGATGTAAAGTTTTGAAATAAAGAAGCCAGTGTTGAGGCATAGTGCCCTCTCTGTAGCTCTACTTCTCTTTATGTCCCAGTTCAGAGACTAGAAATTGAGGAGACTGAAATTCAGTAAATTGAATGGTTTTTAACTGGGATTTTTTTTACATTACGTTTCTTTTTAATCCTGTTTAAATGTTTCCATATTTTCCTATTTTAAAATTGTATGCTAATGCTTGTATGTTAAGCCCCTATGGGGAATAATAATAATAATAATAATAATAATAATAATAATAATAATAATAATGATAATAATAATAATCTATATAAGTAAAAATGTAATGTTCATTTGTGGGATTAACAGAACTCAAAAACCACTGGACGAATTGACAGCAAATTTGGACACAAGACACGTATCGGGCCAACTCATAAAAAAAACCCCAAAATAGCAGAAAAACTAAAGAAAGAAAAAAAGAAAGAAAAGAAAGAGGGAGAGAAGCAGAGAAGGAAAGAGAGAAGGAAGGATGGGAACAAAGAGCGAAGGAAGGAAAGAAAGAGGTAGAGCAGGAAGAAAGGAGGGAAAGAAAAAGAAGGGAGGGGAAGGACAGAAAGAGAGAAGGAAGGGAAGAGAGAGGGAAGGAAGGAGGGAAAGAAGGAGAGAAAGTGGGAGGGAACAGAGAAAGAAAGAAAGAAAGAAGAAAGAGAAAGAAAGAAAGAAAGAAAGAAGAAAGAAAAGAAAGAAAGAAAGAAGAAGAAGAAAGAGAGAAGGAAGAGAAAGAAAGAAGAAGGAAACAGAGAAGGGAAAGAAGAAAGAAAGAAAGAAAGAAAGAAAGAAAGAAAGAAAGAAAGAAAGAAAGAAAGAAAGAGGGGGGAATAATAGAATGAAAGAGTTGGAAGAGACCTCCTGGGCCATCCAGTCCAACCCCATTCTGCCAAGAAGCAGGAATATTGTATTCAAAGCACCCCTGACAGATGGCCATCCAGCCTCTGTTTAAAAGCTTCCAAAGAAGGAGCCTCCACCACACTCCGGGGCAGAGAGTTCCACTGCTGAACGGCTCTCACAGTCAGGAAGTTCTTCCTCATGTTCAGAGAAAGAAAGAAGGAAAGAGAGAAGGAAGGATGGAAGCAAAAGAGCAAAGGAAGGAAGGAAAGAGGTAGAGAGGGAAGAAAGGAGAGAAAGAAAGTAAGAAAGAAAGAGGGGGGAAAGAAAAAAGGAAAGATAGAAGGAAGGATGGAAGCAAAGAGCAAAGGAAGGAAGGAGAGAAAGAAGTAGGAAAAGAAAAAGGGGGGAGGAAGGAAATAGATAGAAGAGGAAGGAAGGAGAGAAAGAGGGAGGAAAAGAAAAAGGGGGGAGGAAGGAAAGAGGTAGATAAGGAAGGAAGGAGAGAAGGAATGAAGAAAAGGGAAGAAGGAAAGAGGGAGCAAAGGAAGGAGGGAAAGAAGGAAAGATAAAGGAGGGAAGGTTGGCCACAGCAACGCGTGGAGGGTACAGCTAATAATAATAATAATAATAATAATAATAATAGTAGTAGTAGTAGTAGTAGTAGTAGTAGGTAGCATCAAGAAAAGTGCCACATTTGACTGTCTCTGTAGCATGGGTTTTATAGTCTCAAATGGATGCAAACACGCAAATGCGCACTGGCCAAGAAATCAAGACTGTCTGTAATTTTCCTTCTCTCGCCTCAGCACCTCTGCGCCTCATTTCCTGTTCCTTAAACATGCTTTAGTGTTCTCTTTATGTTCTGTAAACAATCCCTGCTCATTGTTCTTCCCCCTTCTCACATCTTCTGCCAGGCCATCCCGATCTCTTTCCACCTCTCACCCAAATAAACACACTCCATCTTAGCACCACCTTATCCATCCACATTCCTTTTTGCTCCTTCTTCACTCTTTGCTTCCTCCTCTTTTCTCTTAACCCCTTCCAACTTTGTGGAATTCCCTTAACATTTTCACAGAATGTGCTGCTTACCCGTGTCCTCGACGGAATCCGCACCTCCTGCAACTGCTTCTCGAACGCCTCGCACCGGGAAAGGGCTTCGCTGCAGCGCTGCTGGCTTTCGCGCAGGCTGTGGCTGCTCCCTCGGAGCTGCAGCGCCAGAGAGTTCTTCTCCTCAAAGACCTGAGAAAGCTGGGCAGAAGCACCACAAGGGAATTGTCATATTATATGGCACGCAATGAACTAGGTCATATAGATACAACAAAAATTATATCAAAGAAAGATGTCTCCCATCAGGCCCATAGCCAGGAAAAAATTGAGAGGGGTTGAATTAATAAAATCCTAGAATCCTAGAGTTAGAAGAGCCCTCATGGGCCATTCAGTCCAACCCCATTCTGCCAAGAAGCAGGAAAATCACATTCAAAGCACCCCTGACAGATGGCTATCCAGTTTCTGTTTCAAAGCCTCCAAAGTAGGAGCATCCATCACACTCTGGGGCAGAGAGTTCCACTGCTGAACAGCTCTCCTAGCCAGGAAGTTATTCCTCATTTTCAGGTGGAATCTCCTTTCCTGTATTTTGAAGCTATAAGGCAGTGTTTCTCAACCTGGGGGTCGGGACCCCTGAGGGGGTCACGAGGGGGTGTCAGAGGGGTCACTAAAGACCCCTCTGACAGTATTTTCTGATGGTCATGGGGATTCTATATGGGAAGTTTGAGCCAATTCTATCATTGGTGGAGTTCAGAATGTTCTTTGATTGTAATGAACTATAAATCCCAGCAACTACAACTCCCAAATGTCAAGATCTATTTTCCCCAGACTCCACTAGTGTTCACATTTGGGCATATTGAGTATTTGTGCCAACTTTGGTCCAGACCCACCATTGCATGAGTCCACAGTGCTCTCTGGATATAGGTGAACTACAACTCCCAAACTCAAGGTCAATGCCCATCAAACCCTTCCAGGGTTTTCCATTGGTCATGGGAGCCAAGTTTGGTTCAAATCCATCGCTGATGGAGTTCAGAATGCTCTTTGGTTATAAGGGAACTATAAATCCCAGCAACGACAACTCCCAAATTACAAAATCAGTCCTCCCCCAACCCTACTAACATTCACATTTGGGTGTATTGGGTATTTGTGCCCAGAGTGGTCCAGTGAATGAAAATGCATCCCGCATATGAGATATTTACATTATGATTTATAACAGTAGTAAAATGACTGTTATGAAGTAGCAACGAAAACAATATTATGGTTGGGGGTCACCACAACATGAGGGATTGTATTAAGGGGTCACTGCATTAGGAAGGTTGAGAACCACTGCTATAAGGGAATGCCGTCCCTAGACCCTCCGGGAACTTGCCAGGTCGCTATGGATCGCACCGGAGTCCAAACGGTTGGAGCAAAACACAGTTTATTTCAGACTGCAGTAGGAAAGGCGGACAGAAAGCATACATAGAGTAGTGCTGATACCAAGCTGCCGTGCCTAATGGCACAACCGTTGAGCTTATATACCTTCAACAATGCATTTAGCAACCATATTCCAGTAACATAACACGCCCCTTGTATCCTTGTTGTCAACCTTGTGGTCAGTTACCAGTAAACATGTAGCAACCTTGTAACCTGTGGTTAGCTGTTGTTCCCAGAAGCTATGAGGCAACTATGTTCTCTGTGGTCAGCCTGTGGAACTGTAGAGGAGAGTCTACTGAACAAGCCAGTACATGCCACATACTAGTACGGCCATCTGTTGAGGAGTTACGAAAGTGGAGGCATTACTTTTCATTCGAGTTTAAAATGTCCATGCTGTAGCATGCATGGAACAGACAAGGAAGATGTTGCAATAGACTAGGAGGTTGGACACTAAATTAATGAGCTGATAACAGTGGGGTAGAAATATAGCGGATGCCATTTGTTCTGTCTCTTTGCTCTTCTCTCTTGCATCACGACTATGCTAACGAGTGTTATTGCAATGAATGAAATGTAAATAAAGACAAGAGCTGCTACTGAAGCAGAAACAACTGTCTGAAGTCAGTTATTTGGATGATAAGAAGCAAGTTGGTCAGCAAATTGTATTGATACCTTTAGCATTTGTTGCTGACACAAGAGGCCAATGGATAGGTTACCTTGTTGTTGAGCTGCTGGATGCGCAGTTCCTTCTGGTGCAGCTCTTTCAGGCTTCCTTTCAGTTGGGCCTGGAGGTCATCTAGATCAGATCCATCTCTTGCAGGAGTCTGCCTGGATCCAGCGACCTCTGCTGCAGCCTGCAGGGAAAGGCTTGCTCAAAGCTCTCTCCTTCTCAGCTGTACCTGGAAGCCCACCCTGCGAAGTCCAATCGCACCTCTCTGCTTTGCTTCCATAACATCCTGGGGTTGTGGGGGCTCCTGCCTCCCAGCCTCACCTGTCTTTGGTGCTGTTCTTCCACGATGCGGCCGCCGACCATCGCTGTCTCCTGCACATCTCTCGCCAGGAGCCTCTGAGGCTGTTCTCTGAGCGACGCGGCCTCCAGTTCCCAGGCTGCTTTCTCCTCCCTGCCAAAACACACCAGAGGAAAAAGAACTGTGGTGGTGGGAAGGCATGGAGAGAAGCAGAGCTAGCCCCTGAGACATACCTCCCCATTTCTACTCTGAGAAAACCACAAGCGTTTTAGGCATCCCCCAAAGGCCATCTAGTCCCACTTCTTTCCAGTGCAGGATATCAAGAGTTAAAATATCTCTGCAAGGTGGCTACATCACAGGCATGAGCAAACTTGGGCACTCCAAGTGTTTCCTACTGGCTGTTAGGAATTGTGGGAGTTGAAGTCCAAAACACCTGGAGGGAGGACGAAGTTTGCCCATGCCTGATCTACTCCAACTCCCATCCAAGCAGATGAATGGATGGATGAATGGATAGCTGGGTGAATAGAAGAATGTATGTATGAATTTATGGATGGATGGATGGATGAATAGTTGAATGAATGGATCGATTGATGGATGAATAGAAGGAAGGAAGGAAGGAAGGAAGGAAGGATGGATGGATGGATGGATAGATGAATGAATGAATGAATGGATGGATGGGTGAATAGTTGAATGAATGGATCGATGGATGGATGAATAGAAGGATGGCTGGATGGATAGATGGATGGATGAATGGATAGCTGGATGAATAGAAGAATGTATGTATGTATGAATGAATTTATGAATGAATGAATGGATGGGTGAATAGTTGAATGAATGGATCAATGAATGGATCGATCGATGGATGGATGAATAGAAGGAAGGATGGATGGATGAATGGATAGCTGAATAGTTGAATGAATGGATCAATGAATGGATAGATGGATGGATGAGTAGAAGGATGGATGGATGGATAGATGGATGGATAGATAGATGAATGGATGGATGGATAGCTGGATGAATGGATAGGTGGATGAATAGAAGAATGTACGTATGTATGTATGTATGTATTTATGGATGGATGGATAGGTGAATAGTTGAATGAATGGATCAATGAATGGATGGATGGATGGATGGATAGACAGACAGACAGATAGATGAATGGATGGATGAATAATGAATGGCTGGATAGATGGATGAATAGCTGAATAAATGGATCGATGAATGGATGTATGGATAGATAGACATATAAATTAAATTCTTGATTATCCACCAATCTATACTCACAAATACAACAGAATGTATAGGTCAATAATCAATTAATTTGTACCTGTTTATTGATTATTGACCTATACATACTGTTGTATTTGTGGGTAATATGTTACTTTGGTGGATAGATCAGGGGTCCACAAACTTTTTAAACAGGGGGCCAGGTCACAGTCCCTCAAACTGTTGGCGGGCCGAATTATAATTCGAAAAAAACATGAATTAATTCCTATGTGCACTGCAAATACCTTATTTGTAGTGCAAAAAACATTTTAAAACAATACAATAATTAAAATTAAGAACAATTTTAACAAATGTAAACTTATTAGTATCTCAATGGAAAGTGTGGGTCTGCTTTTGGCTGATGAGATTGGATTTTTGTTGTTATTGTGTGCTTTCAAGTAGTTTCATACTTAGGTTGACCCAGAGCGAGGGCCGGGTAAATGACCTTGGAGGGCCGCATCCGGCCCCCGGGCCTTAGTTTGAGGACCCCTGGGATAGATAGTTTAAAAACAATTTGTGACTGTTTTTATATTTTCATATTTGATGTTCTAATCTGTTGTGTTTCATTGTAATTTTTGGGCTAGTCCCTTGTAAGCTGCCCCGAGTCCCCTTGGGGAGGTGGTTGGCGGGGTATAAAAATAAAGTAGTAGTAGTAGTAGTAGTAGTAGTTATTATCATTATTACGAGATCTATATGCTGGATTTCGTATCTCGTTATAATAATAATAATAATTATTATTATTATTATTATTATTATTTATTAGATTATTTAATATAAACAACTAAAAGGATATTCTCACCTGAGCTGCTGGAGCTCGTATTGCAAAGAAGCTCCTTGCTCCTTCCGCTCCTCCGCCTCTTGCCTCTGGGCCTCCAGCTGGGCTTTGAGGCGCTCCATCTCGGCCGTGTCCACCCCGACCTGGATGTACTGCTGCTGCAGGTTCTTTAACTCCACCAGCTGGAGAACAAAGCAAGATTGTGGTTTAGGGTTATGAGATTCTAGTCTGCATCAATAGCAGTATAGTGTCTGGATCGAGGGAAGTCACAGTCCCACTCAGGAGGGTTTGAAGCAGAGCCTGAATGGCCATCTCCCAGGAGGGGTTGGGTGGTGTCTTCTTGTGTTGGATTGGATGGCCCTTGGACTCTCCTCCACCTTTTTGACTCAATGATTCCTCCTGCCAGCAAAGACCCCTGTCCTGAGGTGTATTGTTTTCACCTCTGTTTCCTAGATCTTTGTAACCCAAGGAGGTTTTGTTCCCTGCCTACACATTCTTCAGAAAGTTTTTAGTGTGTGCCTTGATGACCCCTTGATTGAGAAAGAAGCATCGTAAAGCCTCTCTCTGCCTCAAGTAGCCTTACACACAGTCAGTGTTGGGGTTCAGCCTGATCTGTGTGAACCTGATTCTCTGATAGTATTTCCAACTGAGCAAGCCACTGAACATGTAGTTTTCCCTGACACTGTGAAAACTGGTGTTGATGCTGAGTTCAGCGGCAGGGAAAATGAAACTGAACAGCCGGATGAAAATGTTTTGGAATCCAGCCGTGATAGCTCTCCACCTGGGTTTTTTAATGAGGACCGAAGGGAACAGATAACGAGAGACAGTAGTGATTCACAGTTCCTACGAAGGTCAAATAGATTACAGGAGAGACAGGCTCAGGCTTCAAAGTCAAGGGGCGTTTCAAGGAATAGATTCTTTGGTTTAAGGGGCCGCCTGCCGGGTGTCTCCTTAAATCAAGCAACGTTTGGGACTGTGGCTGTGCCTTGGCAGAATTCCTGTGTTCCATGGCCGGTAATCCCAGAGGCTTCTAGTTTTCAAGTACATGGTTAGCGAGAGGCTAACAGGTTCCTGGTTCTTGTATTGTAGTTTTTGGAATTTTGCTCAAGTTCAGAGATTTTCCTGACTGCTGTGTTTTTATGTTAGCTTTTGACTTTGCATTTAACTTTCTTTTGTAACCAATTTTTCATCAATAAAAAAGGATTGTTTTTTCCTACAGTCCAGTGTGGTGGATTTAATCTTATGGTCTTGTTTCTTGATCTGGGATGCAACAGTCAGTAATAGGAATCTGTGATGAATTCCCTACCTGTAAGGCTAGGAAAAGCTCAGAAAAATAGGCCCAGAAAGTTCAGCAGCCATTTTAGAAGGGTGCCTGGGGGCATCCATCTTAGAATCTCATTTCCTAAAGGGGGCGTTCTTAGGAGCAGCTTGGAGGGAAATGCGGGGAGTTTGTGATTGGCTGGGAGAGAGTGGGCGGAGCTTAACTTGAGAAAGGCAAAAAAATTGACTTTAAGGGGATGTTTTAAAACCCTGACAGCTCAGATTGAGTCTGGGTGTCAAAGAAGAAATAGAGTTTGGTGTGAAGAAGAGAAGGGTTAGGGCAGCCTGAAGTTGGTCAGTTAGCAAGCAGAGATAGATAGTGAGAAGCTTTACAGCTATTGGGAAGGATAACTGGTGGACTGTCCGTGGGGGAGTTTAGGATTACTGGGCAGAGAGGAATCCCGTCAGTAATTTCTGGAGGGAGAGAGGAGTGTTATGTGCAACTAAGTTTTGAACTGCTTAAGGAAACCATACGCTTTTATGTCAATAGTTCAAAACAGCTAAGCTTAATGCCTGTACTCTCTGCACTCTGTACTCAAGTACTCTCAAATAAACAACATTGTTATTTGTTCACAACATCTGCCTCACGTGTGCCTGTTTTTTAAAGCAATTTACTGAAGAAATCAAAAGTCTAATGGTGGCAGCGTATAATTGAGAAAGGAATCTCTTCATTGTTACCTCAGAGCACAAAGCCTGAGTGCGAATCCAGCACATTCTAGCTTAAAGATACTTCAAGTAAGCCAAGGGCTAAGCATTTCTTTTAAGGGTGGTGGTAGCCAGTGTTCTTTCAAACAGTTTTCCGGCCAGGAGATAGTTCCAGCTTATTACAGCTTTTATTTCTAATTACTTAAGCGACATTCCTTTATTAGTGGTGTACAGCTTGGTGGGATTTATACTTAAATAGTCCCTATCTATTATAGAATTCTTCTCTATCTTCCCCTTTATGAGATGTATTACCTGCAACAATAAAGGAATGATTTTGCTTTTTTCAACCTCACCAAAGCAACCAATGCACTTTCTCTTTTGTTTCCTCCCATAAGATCAGATATAGTACTGGCTAAACTGCATGTTGATATAGAGACCAAAGATTGCTACAGTCCACTATGCCTCTGCTGCTCTCTGCTCCACCCCCTGTCCCACCCAACGCTGCCCAGGGCTGACTCACCAGCCGGTCTCGGTCATTCTGCAGGGAAGACAAGGCCTTCTTGAGGCTGGATGCTTCGGCAAGACTGGCGGAAACTCCAGCGTCTGACTGCAACTTGACCTCCTCCGCTTTCCGGGCCCGGTCCAGCTCACTCAGCAGCCGGTCCCTCTCCCCCTGAAGGCTGGCCATGGCCTTGGAGAAGGAGGTCACTTGGGCAGAGGCCCCCTCCAACTCTGAGGCCAGGCGGAGGAGCTCCCTGTCTTTGGCTTGCAGCTGCTGGTCAAGCTTCTCCAGCCGGGTCAGAAGGCCCTTTTCCTCAGCCGATTCTCTGAGTGCTTCCAGATTGGACGCCATCTGGTCCCGGTGCTTTGCCAGGTTTCCTGCTTCCTCTTGAAAGTGGGCCTTCTCCTCCTGGAGCCTCTGGACCAGCAGCCGCTGCTCTTCCAGTTCCATTGAGTTCTTCTTCTCCATGGCCCGCAACTCCTCATTTGCCTGGTCCCAACTGTCCTGGAGGGAGCTCATGGCCTTCTTGAAGGACTCCAATTGGGCCTTTAAGTCCTGGTTCTCCTCCGTGACAGCAAGCAACCTCTGCTCCATTTCGAGGAGGTCCTTGGCCAGCTCCGCCACCCGCTCTTCAGCCGTTTCAGTCTCATTCCTCATGAGACCAGCATCATGGTGGAGACTCTTCAGTTCCTTCTTCATCTTGTCCTCTGCCTTTTGCAGCTCCTCCTTCAGCTCCGCCACTTGTTGCTGTGCAAGTGAGAGCTGCTCACTCAGCTCCTGTGCTTCCTCCTCTTTGCTCTGGAGCTGCACCTGCAGCTCCAACATGGGTCCACCTTCATGCAAAGCTGCCATCTCACTTTGCAGCTGGGACAGAGAGGCTGCCAGGTCTTCCTTCTCCTGCCGCAGGGCCTCCAGGGATGAGCGAAGTTCAGACGAAACGTGCTCGGAGTCCCTCAACTGCCCCTCCAAACCTTCTTTCTCCTTCTCCAGTGCCTGGATGCGCTCCAGCTGGGTGTTGAGTAGCTGCTTCTGCTGGCAGTCCTTGATGGAGATGACCTGGTTCAGGTCCTGGCGGTAGCGGACCAGCTCGGCCCCCAGCTTGGCGTTCTCCGCATTTAGGTCGTCCATCTGGCCGTGGAGGCTCCGGAGTTCCTCCTTCAAAGTATTGTTCTCGGTGGCCGCCTCCTGGATCAGCTGGTCTTTCTCCAAGATGGCAGCCAGGTGCCGTTGCTCTAACTGACGGTAGTCTGCCAGGATGCGGTCGCGGTCGTCCTGCAGAGAGGACATGGAGCGGGTGAAGGAGTCCAGCTGGGTCTTGTGCTGCCGGCTCTCCTCCCGGGCGTCCTTCAGCTTCCCAGTGAGGAGATCCACTTTCTCCAGAACTTTCCTCTGCTCCATTTCTAAGGCCAACTTCTCTTCTCCTGCTCTGTCCATGCGATCTTCCAACTCCTTCAGCTCCTCCGCATGCCGTTGCTGCCATTCTGACACAGCTGCAGAAACTGCCTCGTCTTTGGCGGACAAGAGGCTGACGATTTTCTGGTCCTTGCCACTCATTTCTTCCTGGAGCCTCTCTGTCAGGTCTTTGGAAGCTTTTAGGTCTGCCTCCAGTTGCTCCTGTCTAAACCGGCTCTCTTGGAGACTGGCCTCATGGCTTTTGATTGTCCTCACCATTTCTTCCTGGTCTTCCTTCAACTTTGCCAGAGAATCCTGCAGACAGGAAAGCTGCTCACTCAGAACCCGAAGCTCTTGCTCTTGCTTCTGGACCTGGCTTTGGGAGTTGCTCAGCAGTTTCTGAGACTCCTCAAGCTGGGACGCAAGCCGCCCTTTCTCCTCCAGGAGTGACTCGGCCTCTTTGTGGTGACGCTGGCGCTCCTCCTGGGCACTGGACTCTTGGGCCAATTTGCTGTCCTCCAAACTGCAAGCAGAAGAAGGAGAATCAGCCTCAAGACCAGTTCCATTCCCTTTCACTCCCAACCAACCTGACCCACCTTGAAAGATCGACTCCTCTCACAGGAACATGTCCAAATGTAAGGGCCTCCATGGAAACCCTGGTGAATGCCCCACAAGGTTCCACTAATGGGCTGGGAATCCAGTGGCTGCCCAACTCAAACTGGCTCCCCGCTCCCTCTTCACAGTATTAAAGGATGTAGATGGTTACCAACCCTTTCCCATCACTTCCAAAGTATTAATAACTTAATTAGACATTGAAATAGTAAACATTCATGAGCTACACTGCTGATCGAATTCATAACAGCATCTTCAGCAATGGTGTCGTAACAACATCTGCTGAACACACATAGACCCAATTCCCTTAAATGTCTCCTTTTTCCAACAGGAGTAATGTTTATCATCTATAGCTAGAAAACTGACAACCACATTTACTGGTTTCAGATTATCAATTTGCACATATCTTGTCAGAACTATTTAGTTATGTATGTGTGTTTCTCAATATGCTTCTATGTAATTCAAGATGGATTAAGATGTAATTCAAGATGGATTCTATTCTGCTCTATTGTGTATAAGAAAATACTGTGCTGAGGCAGTGAAGATGTAACCTTGACAGAAATGAGATAACGTGTTCTCTGGCTGGGAAGAAGAGGGAGGAACTGGTCTCAGCCAGAAGTCAGATAAGCAGATGTTCAGAGACTGTTGTTTTTGCCTAGGAGTTCCTGTCTGTAGCTTGCTGTGAATAGACGTGTGTAGATGTACTTAGTAAAACTTAGTTTTCTGTTGTAACTGAAAGTCTGCTGAGTCCTCATTTTGAACACAGTGTCTGCTGATCTAGCAATCCTTCCGCTGGCAAACGTCAATACTCTGACATATCTGCATCTAACCATAGCTTCATTGGGCAACAAAGGCTACAGTTATCTCTCTGCACCTACAGGTCTTACCTTTCTGGATTTGGTTATTCGGATTTGAGTAATGTGTTCACCATTATAGGACTTCTTCCACTTGAGTCCCCTATCTGCCTGAGAAATGTTTACACAACCCCGTTATGTGCATAAACTCAGGATAAAAAAATCAAGCATTTTCTGATAATAAATCAGCAAATCCTCCTAAAGAGGTTGTTTTTTCCTTTTTATGGAGTATAGCTGAAGCATTTCCTGCAGAGTCCACTGTAAACAGTGCACATTGCTAACATAATTGTGTAAATTCTACAACAGCCACTAGGTGGCAATCTGAAATCATTGTTGTGACCACAACATTGAACTACGGGGACCCCATTTGGGTTGGGACCCATAGTTTAAGAAGCAGGTCTCTATAGGAAGTTCTAGGTCAAGTCTATGGACAACTTCTCCTGGAGGTTGTAGTTAGCAAACTCTATAGTCTTGCAGTTCACCCTAGGATATGAAAACTGCCCCCCTCTCTGTTTATCCCTGGCCCGTCTCTCACCTGGCCAGGTGTCTCTGCAGGTCTTCCACCTGGGCACCTGTTCTCTTCACCTGTTCCTCCAAGTTCGCACAAGCCTCCTCCTTGACACGCAGCTCTTGCTCCTTCTTCTCAATGGCCTCGCTGAACTTCTTCTCCCACTGCCGGGACTTGTCGATGACCCGGTCCCGATCGTCCTGTAGGGAGGACATGCTGCGGGTGAAGGCAGCCAGTTGGGCCAGCGTGTGGTTCAGGCTGCCTTGGAGTTGCTGGGCGTCCAGGTCCTTCCGGCGCAGAGTGTCCCGGAGGGCCTGCGTCTCCCCTTCTGAACGCTCCTGATCCCTTCTCAGGGCCTCCAGCCGCTCCTCCATGTTGCTCATCTCCTTGGCATGCTTGCCCTTCTCCTGCTCCAGCTGCCTCTCCAGCTCTGTCTCCTTCTGCTTCAACTGCACTTTGGCCTCCGCCTTGCTTGTCCGCAGCTCCTCTTTCACCCCGAGGCTTTCGGCCAGGAGACGGGCGGCCTCACTCTGGGTGTCATCCAACAGGACTCTACAGGAGGCCAGTTCGGCCTGAGCCGCACGAGTCTCCTCTCTCGCCTGGGCCAAGCTTTTCCCACTGGCTTCCAGCTCCTTCCGGGACTCGCTCTGTACAAACTCCAGAGCTTTGACAGTCCTCTCCAAGCTGCTGATTTTCTCCTGGCTCTTGATGCAGTCCCTCTGGAGTTTCCTCACCTCCTCCTGCTTCTCCTTCAGCAGCTCCTGGAGCTCCTTCACCTGAGTCCGGCCGCTGTTGCCCTTCCAGGCGCTCTTCAGCTTCTCCGCATTCTCCCTCCGGTCTGATTCCACCTGGGTTTTCTCCCTGAGCAGGTGCCTCTTCTCCTCCTCCAACCGGATCAGGTCGCCTCGAAGGCCCTCCATTTCGCTCTCCAGCAGCTGGTTCTTGTTCTGCAAGTCCACCACATCTTGCTGGTAGTTCCCGATGCTCCCATTCAGCTCTGCCAGTTGGTTCATCAGCCGCTCCTCTAGGTCGTCCTTCTCGGCTCCCAGAGCTTCTTTCAGCTTCAAAGCTGCATCAAGCCGCTCCTCCATTTCCTGGCTGGCTTGTTCCACCTGGCCCACCTTCTCCTGCAGAACTTCCAGCTCCTGGCTTTTTGTGGCCAGAGAGTCCTCCAGGTTCTTTTTCTCTTCTCCTAAGGCCTCCAAATCACACAGGACGTTGCTCAGCTCCTCAGCCCCTGTCTTCCTCTTCTCCTCTAGTTCTGCAACCTGCTCCTCAAGCTGTGCAATCCGTTGTATGGCCTTGTTGATCTCATCGCTCGGTGGACTGGCTTCTTGCTTAGTCTCAAGGCTCACAGTGCTGGACTCTGGAGGTGATGAAGTTGCCTCTGAAGGTGCTACCATCATCATGGTAGAACTGACTCCCTCACTGGCTGTCAATGGCTCCTCTCCTCTGCTGGACTTTCTCACTGCCTTCGCCTCACTTTGCAAGGACTTCAAGTCTTGGACCTGCTGCTCCAGAGCATCTTTCTCAGCCGTCAACATTTTCAGCTGAACAGAGAGGGACTCGCAGGTCTGCTTGGAGTTCTCCAGCTCTTTCCTGATCAAAGTACTTGCTTCTTCTGCCTTTCCTTGGTCACCTTCCATGGGATGGGCCTCTGCCCTCAAGCGCTCGTTCTCCTCTTCCAGCTCCAGGATCTTTTGCTGCTTAGACTTTGCGAACTTCCTCATCTTCTCCCTCATCCCTTCCACTTCCTGCTCGGTCCCCTGGAGGCGCTCTTCCACCTCCTTCTTCTCTGCCTCTGCAGCCTTCAGTTTGATGAAAATCTCCTGCTTCTCCTGACGGACACTCTCCACCACCCGCCGGATCCTCTCAGCCTCATCACTGATGTTTTCGTAAGATTGCAGGAGGGTCTCGTACTCCTTCTGAAGCTCTCGGTGTTTCTCCTGCCATTCGGACAGCTCACTGTTGAGAGAGCGCTGTTGAGAGTCCACTGTTTCTTCCAGCCGCGTCTTCTCCTGGGTCAACCCCTCCAGGGCCAGCTTCAGGCTCTCACAGGACCCAGAGAGGTTCTGGTTCTCCACCAAGGCCTTGTCCACCTCCACTATGAGTTTCTCCCGCTCTTCTCCAAGGGCTGACAGCTTCTCCAGAAGTGCCTTCTTCTCCTTTGCCAGCTCGGCGACCTGGCCCTCTGCCCCTGTCAAGCGGAGAGAGGCACTTTCCAGAGCAGCCTTGGTGCTGCTCAGCTCCTCCTTCAGCAACTTGCTCTCCTTCAAGATGTCTTTTCTGGAAATGAGAGCCGCCTGTAGCTTCCGTTGCAGCTGAGCAATGGACTGGCTCTCAGCAGCTTCTTCCGCCGCTTTTTGCTGCGCTTCGGCTGATTCGACTTTTAGCCGTTGGGCGAATTCTTCCCTCTGCCTCTCCAGCTGCCCTTGCAGGGCTTGGATAGTGCCCTCTTTTTCCTGCAGCTCTGACTGGAGCTGACACAGAGATTCCTCTTTCTCTGCAAGCTGGGAGTTCAGTGCCGCTATTTCTTCCTCGCTGGCAATGGCCTTTTGCTCCTGTTGGATCCTCAGCCTCTCCTGCTGAACTGCCTCTGCCTGGCTCTCTTTCAGCTCCAGTTGGAGATGCTCCACGGTGTCTTCTGCTCGACGGCAGTCTGCCTTTGCTACTTCCACCTCAGCAAGCAACTGCTTGGCCTCTTCCTGGAGCTGCAGAATTGCCTCCGTCTTGCTCTCCAGCTCTCCTTCTAGGCGGTGAATATGGGCCTCCAGCTCTCCTTTCTCAGCCCTGAATTGCTCAAGCTCTGCCTTGAGCTGCTCTGTGGCTGAATCTTCATCTGCTGAGCAGTGCCTTTCAGGCACTTCAGGAACCTCCCAGCCAGACTCTTGGATAGCGTCAGATGTTGGTTCGCTTTGAGGAGGAATTGAGTCCTCCAGAGCCTTGCGCAGGGCCTGGATCTGATCCTGAAGGTTCTCCTTCTCCTTTTCTTGCTGCTCAAACTGTTCCCGGAGGAGACTGTAGTCATCCTTGTGCTGCTTTATCTGCTCCCGGTGGTGACGGTCCTTCTCCTGGGCCTTCTTGAGGGTGTCCTTGCGGGAGGCCAGGACCTCCTGGAGCTTCTTCTGCAACTGTTCTCTCTCCTGTTCCAGAGCACAGATCTTCTCTTCTAGACTGACCCTCAGCTCACCCTCCTGTGGTCCTGCAGTGACCGTAGCGCCACCAACCTCAGGCAGCGGAAGGTCAGCTGTGCCATCTCCCTCTGGATCCAGAGGGGTCTGCTCCTTGGAGGCCAAACTGCGGCCCTCAAGTTCATCCCGCAGAGTGACAACAAGGAGGTCCTTCTCCCGCAAACTCTGCTGCAGCTCTGCAACCACCGCTTGCAGTCCCATCACTTCGGACTCTTTCTCCTTCAGGATGTCTTGCAACTCAGACTCCTTTGTGGGGGTCAACTGGCCGACAGAGGCAGACCTGACTTGCCTTGAAGGATGTGCATCTCCTTCTGCATTTCCACTGTTCTCATTGGGATCCTTGTGCTCTTTGTTCTCCTGGACTGCTGGGGATTTGGTCCCAGGCTCTGCTTGTGCTTCCCTCTTGACTTCCAGCTCCTTCTCCAGTAGACGGACTTTACCAAGCAGCTCCTTCCTGCTGAGGAGGGCAGCTTGGAGCTTTTTCTTCACCAGCTTATTCTCCTTCCTCAGTTTTGCTACCTCCTGGCTGGCAGATGGGAGCTCCTCTGGATGTTGCTCAAGAGGTTCCTCTTCTTCTTCCTTCTCTTTCTCCTCCTTCTCTTCTTCCTCCGTCCCTACGCCCTGGTCTCTGGTCATCTTTTCTTGCATGTACAAGCTCAGTCTCTCCGTCAAGCTCTTCAACTCCTTCCCCAACATGAACTTCTCCTCATTCAACTGGACCATCCGGTCTGACATGCCACGGCTGACTTCCTCCATGCGCTCCTCCCGCTCCACCACGTCCTGCCGGAGACGCTCAACCTCTGCAGAGCTTTCAGAGAGGAGCCCCTCCAACTTGGAGACCTCCTGTCCCTTTGAGGCAAGGTTTTTGGAGAGCTCCTCTGCCTTCCTTTCCCTCTCCTGCAGCTGCCCTGCCAACGCCTGCCTTTCTAGCTCCTGCCTCTCGAGTTGGTCCTTCAAGCTTTTCATGAGCAGGTCCTGTTCTGTGAGGAGGCGCTGGGCCTCGTCCAGGTCCTTCTGCAGAGCGGCAATTTTCACCTCTTTGGAGCTGGCCTCGTTTTGCAGGGTCTCGATTTCCTCCGTCAGCAGGCCCAGCCGGGAGACCCCACTCTCATAGTCGGAGAACCTCCGCTTCTCCGAATCGGCCAAGTCATCCTCCAGTTGCTTCATTTGCTCCTCCATTTTGCCTTTCTCTGAGTGAAGACCTTGCAAAGCCCCTCCAGAGTCCTCTATCTGCTGCTTCAGCCTCCGGATTTCCTCCTCTTTCTCTTCCAAGGCCCTCTTGTGCTGCTCTTCTGCTTCCAATTGCTCCTGCAGCCTCTGGATCTCCTCCAGTTTCTCTCCCAATGTCCTCTTGTGCTGTTCTTCTACCTCCTGCTGCCTTCTCTGCAGCTCAACTATTTCAATGTGCAAAGCTGAGGCAGGTGTAAGTTCCTGGGCTGCATCCCTCCCTTCCGTGCAGAGGCCATCTTCCTGGATGTCTACCGTAACCAGCGAACTACTACTGGAATCGCTCTGGGTGGGCCCCGCAGCCCCTTCAACCCCTTCAACCCCTCTGTCCTTCTCCTCTTCCTCAGCCTGAGACCGTCCCACTGCCTCCGCAGCCCCATCCGGGTCCAGATGTTGGGGGTCCTGGAGCTGCCCCTTGAGAAAGGCTATTTCCTCTTGGGCCTCTTGGAGCTCCACCAGCAGCACTGAGAGGTCCCTCTGCTTCTTTGCAGTGAGGTATTCCAAGACGTCAGGCTGCCCATTCTCGGTGGCAAGCGGAGGATCCTCAGGGCTGCTGAGCAGATGGGCCTGGAAGGAGGCAAGAACAGCGTCAGTCCCTGCAGACAAACATCTCTCAATACACGACAAGCACATCATTAAGAATAGTTGGGATTATTTGATGTGACTTTCTTTTCCACAGCATACCTATTTCTGTACTTCTCAGGGAAAGGGTCACGTTTAACGTATTGTGAGGTTCAAAACATCTGGAGGGCCAAAGTTTGCCCATGCCTGCTGTAGAGAAACAGGGGGCAAAGCAAAGCCTGCATGGGGTCACTGGGCATCACTTTCAGGGGTCCTGACCCCGCCGCCATTTACCCCCAAACCACAAATGTGTAAAAACTTTCCAGTTGTTCAGAACCATACACAGTGTTTCTTCACTTTTCAAGGGTGTTACGTTCCAGGACCACCCATGAAAAGTGAAAATCCTTTCCAACAGACCTCACAACCTCTGAGGATGCTTGCCATAGATGCAGGTGAAACATCAGGAGAGAATGCCTCTAGAACATGGCCATATATCCCGAAAAAACCTACAACAACCCAGTAATTCTGGCCATCAAAGCCTTTGACAATACAGTACCTACTTTTCCCCCCCGAAAGCGACTGCCCAAGCAAAGGACATAATCCCCAGGATTAGTGTTTCTGAGTCGACACAATCAACTCTGCCCACGGATCTGTTGTCATTCCGATTTCAAATCTCCTTGTCTGAGGCTTGGTCTTAAAGGCTAAATTCTGCTAAGCGGTCCTGTCAGTGGCATGAGAAGCGGCCTGGCAAGGTTACAACCTTCAGATGGATGAGCAAGAAGGCAAATCCAGCAGATAGAGAAGAAGGGAGTTACTACAGGAAACCATGTCTCTTTTGCCAGGTAGCTAAAGGAAAAGAGGATGTCCTTGCTCTCTCATGGATTTCGGAAAGGGTTGTGGGCAAAATGTTTGTGTTTTTGTTTTGGAATGGCTGCTTTTAAAAACATTTTCAACGCATTATTTACGCTTAGATGTGGATGTTAATAAAATTATTGTACAGACATTTGCAAATCCTATTGTTAGTATTGTCTGTACGAAAGCTTTATGAATATCTGCATCTCAGTGTAAGTTCAGTGTAAATACAAAGTTCTGGAGAGACTTATTTTGCATAGAATTATGGAAAAAATAGACCCCTGTCTGATTCCACAGCAAGCTGGCTTCAGGAAGGGCAAAAGCTGCACATTGCAAGTGAACCTGACTCAGCACATAGAAGATGGCTTTGAAAGGCAGCAGATCACAGGAGCTGTCTTCATAGACCTGTCAGCAGCTTATGATACTGTAAAACACCGCCTCCTCCTGAGAAAAATGTATAATATCACAAAGGACGACCACCTCACCCGTCTCATAGGAAACCTGCTACAAAACAGGAGCTTTTTTGTTGAGTTCCAGAGCCAGAGAAGAAGATGGCAGAAGCAGAAGAACGGCCTGCCTCAGGGGAGCGTGCTTGCTCCATCCATGTTCAACATCTACACATATGACCAGCCACTGCCAGAAGGGACAGAGAGTTTCACCTATGCTGATGATCGTGCCATCACCGCTCAAGCAGGGAGCTTTGAGACTGTAGAACAGAAGCTCTCTGAAGCTCTAGGTGCTCTTACTGCCTACTACAGGGAAAACCAGCTGATCCCTAATCCATCTAAAACACAGACATGTGGTTTTCATCTCAAGAACAGAGAAGCATCCCAAGCTCTGAGAATCACCTGGGAAGGAATCCCACTGGAGCATTGCAGCGCACCCAAATACCTGGGAGTCACTCTGGACCGTGCTCTGACCTACAAGAAGCACTGCCTGAACATCAAGCAAAAAGTGGGCGCTAGAAATAATATCATATGAAAGCTGACTGGCACAACCTGGGGATCACAACCAGACACAGTGAAGACATCTGCCCTTGCGCTGTGCTACTCTGCTGCTGAGTATGCATGCCCAGTGTGGAACACATCTCACCACACTAAAACAGTGGATGTGGCTCTTAATGAGACATGCCGCATTATCACGGGGTGTCTGCGCCCTACACCACTGGAGAAATGACACTGCTTAGCCGGTATTGCACCACCTGACATCCGCCGGGAAGTAGCGGCCAGTAGTGAAAGAACCAAGGCAGGGACATCTCTGGCCTATCCTCTGTTTGGGTATCAGCCAGCACGTCAACGACTTAAATCAAGAAATAGTTTTCTAAGATCTACAGAGACACTCGCTGGAACATCCCAGCAAGCGAGAGGTCTGTTGGAACTAGAAAAAGGGTTTATATATCTGTGGAATGACCAGGGTGGGACAAAGGACTCTTGTCTGCTGGAGCTAGGTGTGAATGTTTCAACTGACCAGCTTGATTAGCATACAATGGGCTGACTGTGCCTGGAGCAAACTCTTCTTGAAAGGTGATTAGATGTCCCTGCCTGTTTCCTCTCTGCTGTTTTTGCTGTTGCAATTTTAGAATTTTTTAATACTGGTAGCCAGATTTGTTCATTTTCATGGTTTCTTCCTTTCTGTTGAAATTGTCCACATGCTTTTAAATTTCAACAGAAAGGAGGAAACCATGAAAATGAATAAAATCTGGCTACCAGTATTAAAAAACTCTAAAATTTCAACAACACAACAGCAGAGAGGAAACAAGCAAGGACATCTAATCACCTCTCAACAAAAGTTTGCTGTAGGCACTGCCAGGCCATTATATGCTAATCAGGGTGGTCAGTTGAAACATTCACACCTAGCTCCAGCAGACAAGAGTCCTTTGTCCCACCCTGGTCATTCCACAGATATATAAACCCTTTTTCCTAGTTCCAACAGACCTCACTACCTCTGAGGATGCTTGCCATAGATGCAGGCGAAACATCAGGAGAGAATGCTTCTAGACCATGGCCATATAGCCCGAAAAAACCTACAACAACCCAATAATAATAATCTTTATTTACACCCTGCCACCATCTCCCCCAATGGGGACTCGGAGCGGCTTACATGGGGCCAAGCCCGAACAAGAATTACAATATAACAATACAAAATTGCAATAAAATAAAATAAACAATAATAATAAAGGGGGGGGGGATCAAAGCATATAAACAATAGACATAAAACATCCTTCCAAAGCTAAGACACAGAAAACTATGGTTTTAAAACTTTCTTGCAGTTGGCAAAAAAGGAAAAAACATGTAAACAATATTTATGGAGATGGAAATCCTTGCTTTTCCTCTTAAGAGGTTCGTGCAGAGCACAATAGTGAAAACCTGGCCGAGCAGCAAAAGCTCTGAGTTAATTTGAGAATCTCTATTGCCTTTAAGCTGCCTAATAATAGCGGAGTAAAGAGGATTGGCTGCAAAGGACCCGAGACAGAGAAGCCGCTCTCAAGACAAACGCTTTGCCTCCACTTTCTTTGATGCTCAGAGGTTACCTGGCTTGACTCTGCTGGGCTTCCCATCGAGTCGGGCCTCGTTTCTGAAACATCACGCTTGGAAGCGTCTGTCTCTGGAAAAAGCAGAAATAAAAGGCAGTGAGATGCAACGACAATGCGTTTCCTTTGAGTAAGGGCTGGAAATAAATTTTCTACAGGTTGTATCTGATGCCAGAAAGGCTTTCTAAGATGTAAAAGGGCAGCCGTTCGAGTAAACGTTGGAAAAGAGGATGATGTTGGAACATTTTGCTGTATGTGGTTGCCTTGCAAAAAGGGCCAGAAATACTGGACTCGAAGACATGCAATTATTATCTATATATATAAATCTGTTAGGTTGGTTCAACCGGACAGCAAAACTCCACAACCCCCCAACGAAACTTAACCAAAATTCCCATGCCCATAACACAACCCACAAGGTACAAACATATCTACTCAAAATGAAAAACAACACAACAACACACTCAAAAAACGGCAAAACAACAAAACTCAAAAAAACCCCAACGAAACTTAACCAAAATTCCCATGCCCATAACACAACCCACAAGGTACAAACATATCTACTCAAAATGAAAAACAGCACAACAACACACTCACAAAACGGCAAAACAACTGAGCATGCGCATTGGCGCCCAGCCGCAAGTTCCCTGGCGCGCGCACACAGCCTTCCGGCCAACGTTCCCTCTGCAAAGCCATGCCCACTCCAAGCCCCGCCGCGCTGCTTCCCGCACACACACACACCCCTGCCGCACACACACACAACCCCACGCTCCATCACTCCCCCCCCGCCGCACACACACACGCAACCCCACGCTCCATCACTCCCCCGCCGCCGCACACACACACGCAACCCTCCATCACTCCCCCCGCCGCCGCACACACACACGCAACCCCACGCTCCCTCACTCCCCCCGCCGCCTCCTTGCAACCCCACTCCCCCTGCCGCCGCACACACACACAACCCCACGCTCCATCACTCCCCCCGCCGCCGCACACACATGTAACCCCACTCCCCCCTCCGCCGCACACACACACGCAACCCCACGCTCCTCCCCCCCCGCACACACACACGCAACCCCACTCCCCCCGCCGCCGCACACACACACGCAACCCCAGGCTCCATCATTCCCCCCGCCGCCGCACACACACACGCAACCCCACGCTCCATCACTCCCCCCCGCCGCACACACACGCAACCCCACGCTCCATCACTCCCCCGCCGCCGCACACACACACGCAATCCCACGCTCCATCCCTCCGCCGCCACGCACACACACACACACCCCCACGCTCCATCACTCCCCCCCCGCCGCACACACACGCAACCCCACTCCCCCCGCCGCCGCAAACACACACGCAACCCCACGCTACATCACTCCCCCGCTGCTGCACACACATAATAGTCCAGATATCTACCTCAACTTTGATAAGTTTTACTATAGGCCACAGCAGCGCGTGGCAGGGCACAGCTAGTTGTTATTATTATTATTATTATTATTATTATTATTATTATTATTTGAAACACAAGATGAGTCCACAGCAGACACACCTCCTCCTCCTCCTCTTCTTCTTCTTATTATTAGCTACACAACAAGATTAGTACACAGTAAATGAGATCTTGATCCTGGCTTTTGTAATCTAAGAAGTGCTTGGACTGCCACAATTTTTGGACCCTTAACGCTGCAGGTACAGGTTGCTCTTCAATAAGGAGTTCTAAAGTGCCTCACTAAACTACAAACCCTGGACTCCACAGAACAAAAACCACTGTTTTGAAGGGCCCCAAATCTGACCAAATTCTGTAGTGTAGACACAACGTTTAAGGGAGAAATAAGCTTAGAAAGGAAATTTAGGGAATGGAAAGAGGCAGGCAAGAAGGAGCAAGGTACCTGTTGTGGCCTCTGCGGTGGTTTTGTACTCTTGTTCTTCCGGCTGCCCGGCATTCACGGCTAGCAAGATGGCTGCCTCCTGGTTAACAAGTGGCTGCAGAGATAAGAGCAGGTACCTGAGCCTTGGGCTTTTGGGGGGAAGCTGTTATCTTTGAGTCTCCCGGGGTATAAATAAACGAAATAATAACAATACCTCACTCACTGAAGCATCCTGCCCTGTATCTTGGGATGGAAGTGCTTCCGATTCAGCCAGTGAATGGTCAGATTCCTTGGGCTTCTCAGGAGCTTCCCCTTGAACATAAAACACTACAGTTAATTCCCCAGCGTATTTAAGGGTGCATCTGCACTGCAGTTTGTGTCAGAGGCTTTACACAATAATATTGCCATTCAAAGTGGTTTCAGTCAGGATTATTGAAAGTATACATGTATGTTTTTTCAACGCGTTTCAATGTGTTTAGCAATGGTGTTCATATGTATTCAAGATGGATTCAGTTATGTTCAATTGTATGCTGGAATTGTTGTTGTGTGAGACAGAGAGGTAGAGAGAGAAGAGACCTTGGCAGAAGTAAGATAACAAGTTCTCTTTGTCTGGGAAGAATTAGGGAGTAGCCGGCTCACAGCCAAAGTGAAACTGATAAGCATATGTTCTGTAACCGTACTATAGTTATGCTTTGTAGTTCCTGTAGTAGTTCCTGATTAAGCTTGCTTGGAAGTAGACGTGTATTAAGATGTGCTAAGTAAACTTTGTTATTTTTAAAACTGGCAGACTGCAGTGTCCTGTTTTGTGTCTGTGTGATCTAGTAACCTCAACTCCGCTGCGCATAGACCCCAGGGTCTCACTCTAATAGTTTCAAGCCACATTCAATCTAGTGTAGATACACCCAAAGATGTATCGTCTGCCTGGTGCCAAGAGAAAATACCACTCTAATAATCCAGTTAAAAATGGTGTCCAATTGCATTAATTCTACAGTGTAGATGCAACCCAGGAAAATCCCCACGCAATTACAAGATTGGGCTTCTGACCTTGCAGGACGGAAGACTCCTCAGCGGATCCCTCCTGCGGCTGCTCTCCCTCCTGTTGCAGACGGGCGTTTTCGGCTCGGAGGGTCTCGTAGCTGGAGCGCCAATGCTGCTCCGCGCTCTGGAGTCGGGCCACTTCCTGGGCCTTCTCTGCCATCTCCTCCGCGTGCCTCTGCTGGGCGGCTCCGGCAAGGGCCACTTCCTGGGAGAGCCACTGGGCCTTCTCCTGCAGCCGGTGGGAGTCCATCTTCTTCTCGGCCAGCTCCAGCTCCAGCCGCTCCACCAGGACTTGGGACTCCTGCCTCTGGACAGCCAAGGCGCCCCTCAGGGACTCCCGCTCGGCGTCAGCCTCCTGGAATTTCCCCAAAAGAACCTGGGGAAAAGGAGGGAAACACAGAAATTTTGAACTCAATCAAGTCCCCCATGACCTACTCGCAAGCAAACTAGTCCAATGTGTGCTAGGCAATGCTCCTATTGGGTGGATCTGTAATTACTGGGTTGTTGTAGGTTTTTTCAGGCTATATGGCCATGTTCTAGAGGCATTTTCCCCTGACGTTTCGCCTGCATCTATGGCAAGCATCCTCAGAGGTAGTGAAGTCTGCTGGAAATAGGAAAATGGGTTTATATATCAGTGGAATGTCCAGGGTGGGAGAAAGAACTCTTGTCTGTTGGAGCTAGGTGTGAATGTTTCAACTGACCACCTTGATTAGCATTTGAAGGCCTGGCAGTTGTTTGGTGTGGTTTGTTGGTGCCCGGGGCAATCTTTTGTTGAGAGATGATTAGATGTCCCTGATTGTTTCCTCTCTGTTGTTTTGCTGTTGTAATTCTGGAATTTTTTTAATACTGGTAGCCAGATCTTGTTCATTTTCATTGTTTCGTCCTTTCTGTTGAAATTGTCCACATGCTTCTTGTGGATTTCAGTGCCTTCAGTATTAAAAAACTCTAAAATTGCGCGAGAGGGGAGAAAGGTTGCGTGAGAGGGGAGAAAGAGGGCAACCAACAATTCTCTAGGCAGTAAGGTACCTGTTTCTGCTCCTCAGCCGCATCCAGTTCCTGCTGCAGCAGCTCCACCACTTGGGTTCGCCCCATCAAAGCGGCCTCTTGCTCCTCCAACTTCCGTTGCAAGAGCCTGAGATTCTGAGACAAAGAAACAGCTCAGTTACCGGTAAGGAATTTCCAGGATCACAGAGCAGACTTTTAGTTTGTGGTGCTCTCTGGCTCAGGAAAACCCAAGATCTCTGCACCTGTCCTGCCCTCTTGAGAAGAAAAATCCACCTGGTGTCCTCACCCAGGAGCTCTACTTGGGGGCCCCTCACCCAAAGGCATCTCACCTGCTGCATTTCTGCCTCCAGAGCTGACTGGGCGGCAAGGCGCTGCAATTCAGCTTGGTGCCGATGGGCCTGATCCTCAAGGAGCGAGTCCTTCCGCTGGACTTCCTCTTCCAAAGTGCTGAGCTGCCAAGAGAACAGAGATGCTAACCGGCCATCAAAGGAACCACCGTGCATGTCACAATATAACACAGACCAGACCGAGAAGGTGTCCTGTGGAATTCCTCAAGGTTCCATTTTGTCCCCCATGCTGTTCAACATATACATGAAACTTCTGGGTGAGATCATCCAGAGTTTTGGAATGCAGTGACACATATATGCAGGTGACACCCAACTCTACCACTCCTTTCCACCTAAAGCCAAGGAAGCTGTCCTGACCCTAAACCAGTACCTGTCATCGGTAATGGACTAGATGAGGGCAAACAAATTGAAACTTAATCCAGAACACCCAGGGGTTCTCTTGGTCAGTCAGAAGGCAGACCAGGGAATAGAGATCCAGCCTGTGCTGGATGGAAGGGGTGTTGGGAATCAGCTTGTGTTTGTGTTCCAGGATCATGATGGTGCTGAGGCTGAGGTGCAAGATGGAGATGGTTTGGTCAATGACTTTCATACAGACAATGACAGAGAGGCCCCAGTGCAAAGGGCAGTTTCTCATGAGAATATTCCTGCTGAGCCTAGGGATGATGGTTTACTCCCTCTTTCTGTGAGTTCCCAAGATTTGGGTTTGGAAAACAATCTGACACCTGGAAATTTTAATGAGCAGCCAGATAGGGAGTTGAAGGACAGGTGGCTGGAGATCAGCCAGGATCAACAGCAAACTCAGTGTTTGCTCCGAAAGACTTTGTCAGATAAGGGGCAAGTGTGGGGGAAAGCAAAACCAGTTTCTGGGTTTGGGGATATAAGGTTTGTTTCAAGGGAAAACCTGTTAGATCAGGCATTGTTTGGAAATCAAGTTCATGTGCTATGGAAATCCTGCTCAAGGGGTCTTGTTCATGTGGAGAATTTTAGCCTTTTGGATTGTCTTTGCTTCCTGTTGATTCCTGACTTGATAAACACTGCCTTGGAACTGCTTTTATATCTTGTGTGGACATTGCTTTGTGTTACTGCGTTGTACTGACATTACTTTTTGGAACCTTCTTATTTCTGTACAAGCATTTATTTTCACTGGCTATTTACTAAGCTTCAATAAAAGAGGATTTGTTTCTTCACTCATTGTGTGGTGTGTTTTAAAGTCAGAGGGCTTTTTCCTGACCTGGAGTGCAACAAGGGGTCCCACTCCTCCTAAAGACACTGGTCCACAGTTTGGGGGTCATCCTAGACGTCCCAAGTGTCGGAAGCGGCCAAGAGGGCCTTTGCACAATTAAAACTTGTGCACCAACTGCGCCCATTCCTTGGGAAGTCAAATCTGGCCGTGGTGGTCCATGACTTAGTGACATCCCAATGCTCTCTACATGAGGCTGCCTCTGAAGATGCTTGGAAACTAGCTGGTTCAAAGAGCTGCAATCCGGTCCTCAAAGAAGAACAGGAACAGGACCCTCTAATCATTAATTACACCACACCTTGAATGAAGGAAGAGTCCTTTTTATTTGAAGAATAACTGGAGCCAATAAAAGTGATGATTATAAAAATAAGTAGAAGTTCAAAAGCCAAATAAAACAGCAACATAAGCAGTGTCCAAACAAAACAATGTCCCAAAGCTTGCAGAAATAATCCAAATGCAATGAATAACCAAAAAGCTCTACAAAATAAAACCATGAACAGAGTAGCCATTGCTAATCCACTTGAAAAGCCATGAATCCTTAGAGATGAGGCCACATAAAACAGGAATATCCAGGAGACTTGAGCTTGATTCTTAGAAAATTCTCTAAGAGCTCAATTTAAGTCCCAAAAACTGGTTCCTACTCCCCCCAGTTTTTGGCCTTAACTGCCGAATTCTTTCTGACCTGTGTAAACATTGGGCCTCTCGACGGTTCTGGCTGATTTCCAGATGGCGACTGGTCTTATCTATCTCCTCATTAACTGCAGCAGGTGTGAAACTATCTTGCAAACTCAAGCTTGGAGAAGGGAGTAAACTTTCTTCCCTGCTGTGACAGGAACTTTCTCATGAGAACTTAGCCTTTCCCCTGACCCTTCTCGATCAGAGTCTGCAGTAACCTTATTGTCCAAAGTGTCTCCATTTTGTACCTCATCCTCATTGATCGCATCAGGTTCACTACCCAAGTCAGACCCAGAAACAATAGAAGGGGGAAACACAATCACAGATTCATGCTCAAACACAGGCTGAGTCCCAACACAGAGCCACTGTAAGACAGGGCCTCCCACTTCCATCTCAGCAAGACGACCCAGATGATAACATGGTCAATGGTATCGAAAGCCACTGAGAGATCCAAGAGAACCAACAGGGACACACTCCCCCAGTCTAACTCTCTTTGCAGGTCATCCACCAAGGCGACCAAAGCTGCCTCTGTTCCATGGCCAGGCCTGAAACCAGACTGAAATGTATCTAGGTAATCCGTTTCATCCAGAAATCTCTGGAGTTGGGAGGCCACCACACACGCCAAGACCTTTCACAGAAAAGAAAGGTTGGACACTGGCTGATAGCTGGACATTTTAGAGGGGTTCAGAGATGGCTTTTCAAATATAGATCTCACAACTGCCTCCTTTAGGCAAGCTGGAACTTTATGCCATCACGCAGGCCCATGATAACAAAGGGGAAAAAAAAGAACAGGGGGCCTTACCTGGGCCTGTGCTTCTGCCAGGCTTCCTGTCGCTGCCTCCAGCTGTTCTTGGAGCTTCGCCACCAATTCATCCCGTTCCTGAAGCTGCCTCTGTAGTCCTTCCGTCTCTTCTTCTGTTTTGCTGTGTGTCCTCTGGTCATTTTCATCCTGGAGGCAGAGAGCAGAAGGAAACTCAAAGTGAACATCTATCCGAAGCAATGAAAAAAGGGGCCCTGCACAGCGGTGCCCTTCTGCAAGCACAGACAACAAGAGTATATATTTTGCAAAATCTCTTCTCTTTACTGTTTCTTAAAGACCCTGCAGAGGTTGAAGGGAAGCAAAAGAATTTGAAAACTTATAACTGTAAATAAAGAACAACACTCTAACACTGGGCACCTCCAGACAAGAAACAATCAGGGACAGCTAATCACCTCTCAACAAAGGATTCCCCCAGGCAGTAACAAGCCACACCAAAGACTGCCAGGCCATCAAATGTTAATCAAGGTGGCCAATTGAAACATCCACACTTAGTTCCAACAGACAAGAGTTTTTTGTTCCACCCTGGACTTTCCACAGATATATAAACCCAATTTTCCTAGTTTCCAACAGACCTCACAACCTCTGAGGTTGCCTGCCATAGATGCAGGTGAAACGTCAGGAGAGAATGCTTTGGGAACAATGGTTATACAGCCCAAAAAACCTACAACAACTCAGTGATTCCGGCCATGAAAGACAATAGATTAATTTCAAAACCGCTTAGCAAATAGAATGAGAGAAAAGGCATGTGGGAAGTCAGCGGAAATAAGCAGAAGCTTCTACAGGAGTCTACCATAGACCATGCAGCTGTGGACAAGTCTCCATAGGGACCACCACACGCAGCAGCATTGCCCAAACACGAATCAAGGAACATGAAAGGCACTGCAGACTACTCCAACCAGAGAAGACAGCCATAGCAGAGCACCTGAGGAACCAACCTGGACACAGCACATTATTTGAGAACACAGAAATGCTGGACCACACCAACAACCACCATGTCAGACTACACAGAGAAGCCATTGAAATCAACAAGCATGTGGATAATTTCAACAGAAAGGAAGAAACCATGAAAATGGACAAAATCTGGCTACCAGTATTTAAAAAACTCTCAAATTACAACAACAAAACAACAGAGAGGAAACAATCTGGGAAATCTAATCACTTCTCAACAAAAGATTACCCCAGGCACTGCCAGGCCATCAAATGCTAATTAAGGTGGTCAGTTGAAACATTCACACCTAGCTCCAGCAGACAAGAGTTCTTTGTCCCACGCTGGACATTATTCCACAGATATATAAACCCTTTTTCCTACTTCCAACAGACCTCACTACCTGAGGATGCTTGCCATAGATGCAGACGAAACGTCAGGAGAGAATGCCTCTAGAACATGGTCATATATAGCCCGAAAAAACCTACAACAACCCAATAAGCAGGAGCGCCTCCATTTGCTTTGGTTGAGGTAAGCAAATGCAGAAGGGACCAGGACAATTTCTGCACCCAAAAAATGTTTTGGATTTTAACTCCCACAATTCCTAACAGACAGTAGGATGTTAGGAATTGTGGGAGTTGAAGTCCAAAACACCTGGAGGGAGGGCCAAAGTTTGCCCATGCTTGGTCTGGATGGAGGTCATTCAAAATGCTTAATTCAATATCCTTTGAAGTGGGTCTGCCAGTACAGGGCACCCGGGGCTCAGCCTCAAGGACAAGAAGAATGAGGCCATACGAATGTAACTGCCCTTCCCAGTTAGGGGTTTGGGCTTACCTTGGCAGGAGGGGGAGGCTCTCCCAGCGACGCTCCCCCCTTGTCTGTCAGCTCTTCAATGCGCTTGTTCAGAGACGCCAGCTTCGCCTTGGCCTGCAATTTCAGCTTCAGCAGCTTGGCATCTGCAGCCTGCCTTTCTTCCTGGAGGAGGGAACGCAAAAGGCACATGGCGAAATGCTCACAGCGATACAACACAACACACAAGGCCTCTACATTAGCAGGCAAAGGAGTGCCCTCCCAAACACCTATGCGAGAAATGACACATCTTGCCAATATCCCTCTTGAATTGCTTTTCCCAGAACTGGACACAGGGTTATTACTCCAGGTGAAGAGTATCAGAAATATTAAAAAATAACAAGGCATCTTTAATTACAAAAATGTAAGTCAAGTACTGAAAGAGTTAAGTGGACGTAGTGATTCAGCAAAAGCTGTAGTTCAATATAGGCAGTTCTGCCTGTAGCTTAGCAGCACTCAGAGTAAGAGAGGCCTCAGTATGAGAAGGTCTCAGTGTGAGAGAGGCCTCAGTATGAGAAGGCCTCAGTATGAGAGAAGCCTCAGTATGAGAAGGTCTCAGTGTGACAGAGTATGAGAAGGTCTGTGTGAGAGAGGCCTCCGTATGAGAAGGCCTCAGTATGAGAGAGGCCTCAGTATGAGAAGGTTTCCGTGTGAGAGAGGCCTCAGTATGAGAAGGTCTCAATGTGAGAGAGGCCTCAGTATGAGAAGGTCTCAGTGTGAGAGAGGCCTCAGTATGAGAAGGGCTCAGTGTGAGAGAAGCCTCGGTATGAGAAGGTCTCCGTGTGAGAGAGGCCTCAGTATGAGAAGGTCTCAGTGTGAGAGAGGCCTCAGTATGAGAAGGTTTCCGTGTGAGAGAGGCCTCAGTATGAGAAGGTCTCAGTGTGAGAGAAGCCTCAGTATGAGAAAGTCTCAGTGTGAGAGAGGCCTCAGTATGAGAAGGGCTCAGTGTGAGAGAAGCCTTGGTATGAGAAGGTCTCCGTGTGAGAGAGGCCTCGGTATGAGAAGGTCTGAGTGTGAGAGAGGCCTCAGTATGAGAAGCTCTCAGTTCCTGCTTCTTGGCAGGGGGTTGGATTGGATGGCCCATGAGGTCTCTTCCAACTCTTTGATTCTATGATTCTATGAGAGGCCACAGTGTTAGTAGGCCTCAGTGTGAGAGAAGCCTCAGTGTTAGTAGGCCTCACTATGAGGAAGGTCTGGTATGAGAAGCTTTACTGAGAGAAGCCCTAGGTTGAAAGCCTCGTGTGTGAAGCTCCAGTGTGAAGGCTCCTGCATGTCAAAAGCTACTGTGTAAGTTCCGTGAGAGAGGAAGCTCTGTGAGAGTGAAGCTGTTTATTAGGGCTGGGCGGTTTCGTTTCGTTAATTCGTAATTCGTTAATAATTCGTTAATTTTTTCAATTACAAAACGATAACGAACCATTTTGGAGCAATTATTAAAAAAAACGAATTTTCAAAAACGTTTTGCAAATGCTTCGTATTTCGATATTGTATTCGTTTCGTTATTGTTTTGAGGTCGTTTCGTTATTATTTCCGCATGTCTGGGCCAGTTTTATGGTTTAATTAGTGAAAAAAAATTATAATATCACACCAACAGTCAACAACAGAGGGAGAGGGAAGCTTCAGAAGGTTTTGGAGGTTTTTTAGCGTATTTCGCGGTCGCATCCGCCATTAACGAATCGATTCGTTATTGTTTCGGAAATCGATTCGTTAATTTTTCACCATTTACGAAATTTCGTAAATAGCGAACTTTTTAAAAGGAAAATTTTGTAATTATTTTAAATATCGAAACAAAAAACCCCCCCAAATACAAATCGATTTTAGAAACAAATTTTTCCGTTGTTACCCAGGCCTACTGTTTATCAACATGAAAAAGAAGCCCAGAGTGGAAGCAAAGAAGGAAGTATAAAGAACTTTATTTGTGATATGGAAACCTTGCTTTTTAAATAGTGCAAGCATATTATTGTAATACAAGGAAAAGCCTCCTAAGGAAGAGAGAACATTGGTCTGTGTGTTTTTGTTCTTTTTATCATTTTGGGCTACCGGTGCTGGGCCATGGTCCAACTAATAAGTTACTCTGCTGTACATTTATTGGGGGGGGGGGATTCTTTTGTTAATAAGCTCACCCACCCAACATAGATATCTCACCAAAGAAGAATAGAGGGGCATCATGACTTCCCTTGATCTAGACCAGTGTTTCTCAACCTGGGGGTCGGGATCTCGGGGGGGGGGGGTTGCCAAAGACCATCTGAAAACACAGTATTGAGTGTTGGTCATGTGGATTCTGTGTGGGAAGTTTGGCCCAATTCTATTGTTGGTAGGCTTCAAGGGGCTCTTCGACTGTAGGTGAACTATACATCCCAGCAACTACAACTCCCAAATATCAATGTATATTTCCCCCAAATCCACATTTCACATTTGGGCATATTGAGGATTCATGCCAAGTTTGGTCCAGATCTATCAATGCTTGAGTCCACAGTGTTCTCTGGATGTACGTGAACTACAACTCCCAAACTCAAGGTCAATGCCCACCAAACCCTTCTGGTGTTTTCTGTTGGTCATGGGAGTCCTGTGTGCCACGTTTGGTTCAATTCCATCATTGGTGGAGTTCAAAATGCTCTTTGATTGTAGGTGAACTACAATTCCCAAATGACAAAATCCACAACCCCCCCCCCCCACCTCCACAACCCCACCAGTATTCACATTTGTGTGTATCAGTGCCAAATTTGGTCCAGTGAATGAAAATACATCCTGCATATCAAATATTTGCATTATGATTCATAACAGTAGCAAAATTAGAGTTATGAAGTAGCAACAAAAATGATTTTATGGGGTCTCCACAACATGAGGACCTGTATTAAGGGGTTGTGTCATTAGGAAGGTTGAGAAACACTGGTCTAGACTCCTTCTGACGGAGCCCAAGATATGTGAGAGGACATTGCATCTGGGCACCTGGAGCACGGCTTCCTTCTTCTGGAGCTGGGCCTCTTTCTCCCGGACCAGGTCCTTCAGCTGGACCACCAGCCTCTCCGTGTGGGCCAGCCGCTCCAGCAGGTCCTCCGGAGCCTCCTCTCCATTCTGCTGCGATGGCTCCAAGTCTGGGCCCTGCAGCAACACAAGAGAAACAAGGCTCTCAATGTATTGTCGAAGGCTTTCATGGCTGGAATCACTGGGTTGTTGTAGGTTTTTTCGGGCTATATGGCCATGGTCTAGAGGCATTCTCTCCTGACTTTTCGCCTGCATCTATGGCAAGCATCCTCACTACCTCTGAGGATGCTTGCCATAGATGCAGGCGAAATGCCAGGAGAGAATGCCTCTAGACCATGGCCATATAGCCTGAAAAAACTACAACAACCCAAGGCTCTCAATGCCAAAAACCATCTGCCTCCTCTCTCCTCCCCAAAACACCAAATGTATGCTAGTCCTGGGAAATTATAATTGGAACAATGGTCCTAAGCAAGAACTACTCTTCATGCTCTGATGTATTTGTGCAGTGGAATAATTATCCAACACAAAACAAGGACAGCAGGCACACGATTTGACCTCCCCCTTTCCTCCCAATTTTTTGTTTATTTGTAACTTTTGGCAAACATTCTGATTCACAACCAAAATAATAAACATTGGGGGGGGGGGGGCAAAAAAAGAAAGAAACATCCATGTAAAGAATACTTACAGGTATATAGCTAGAACTGAAGCTGAACTAAAAGTAAAACGTAATACTAAAAGTCTGAAATAATAATACTAAAAGTCTGAAATAATAATAATAATAATAATAATAATAATAATCTATATTTATACCCCGCCACCATCTCCCCAAAGGGGACTCGGGGTGACTTACACGAGGCCGAGCCCAGAAATACATTGCAGCAAAATACAGTAAAACAAACCAACAGAACCAACAACACAATAAAATAGAAAAAAACGTAGGAATATACAGGGTTGTTGTAGGTTTTTTCAGGCTATATGGCCATGTTCTAGAGGCATTCTCTCCTGACGTTTCGCCTGTATCTATGAGACATCACAACTAGGCCTGGGTAACAACGGAAAAATTTGTTTCTAAAATCGATTTGTATTTGGGGGTTTTTTTTTGTTTCGATATTTAAAATAATTACAAAATTTTCCCTTTAAAAAGTTCGATATTTACGAAATTTCGTAAATGTGAAAAAAATTACAAAACATTAACGAATCGATTTCCGAAACAATAACGAATTGATTCGTTAATGGCGGACGCGACCGCGAAATACGCTAAAAAACCTCCAAAAACTTCTGAAGCTTCCCTCTCCCTCTGTTGTTGACTGTTGGTGTGATATTATAATTTTTTTTCACTAATTAAACAAAAAACTTGCCCCAGACATGCGGAAATAATAACGAAACGACCTCAGAACAATAACGAAACGAATACAATAACGAAATACGAAGCATTTACAAAACGTGTTTAAAAATTAGTTTTTTAAAAAAATTGCTCCAGAATGGTTCGTTATCGTTTTGTAATTGAAAAAATTAACGAATTATTAACGAATTACGAATTAACGAAACGAAACCGCCCAGCCCTAACACAAACCACATGGCCATGGGACATTGGGCCAAAAGGAAATGCAGGACAGAATGCCTCTAGAACATGGCCATATAGCCTGAAAAAAAACCTACAACAATCCAGTGATTCCAGCCTTGAAAGCCTTCGACAATACATAGGAAGATAATAAAACAAAGCAAAATAAAACAAAACAGGATAAGGCAATGAAAAATCAATCACAATGTGCAGGACACATGTACTACATAAAACGATTAAACTCTGTACGAGAAAAGGAAATGTTTATGCCGGAATAATAAACACAAGCCAAGCAAGAGTGCATTAAAATAGTAAAAGTAATGAAGTTTGCCACCACTTGAACTATCTTGGTTCAATGCTATGGAATCCTGGGAACTGTAGTTTGGGGAGGAAACAGCGCTCTTGGGCAGTGAAAGCTAAAGATCTTGCAAAACTACAAATCCCAGGATCCCATTAAGCTATGCTGTTAAACTGGCATAAGACTGTATTAATCCTACAACAAAAATACACCTTGAACCTATGAAAGCTTATGCTAACACCTTCTTTCTCTCAGTTAATATCCATGATAGTTTGTCGACTGATATTCCAGGCTAACACAACCATATCTTTGAACTGTATCATAACATTTGTATGTTTTAATGATTTGGCAGCTTATCTATATTTGTTTTAACACCGCAAGCTGCGTTGAGTCCTGGAACTGAAGAAAAAGCAGGATATGGATGAATGTGTGCGTAAAGAAATCACTGCAACCGCCGCTTTTGTGATTTTTTGGAGCAGTCTTCTGGACCGGATCTGTACCAATGCTTGCATGAAAGTAAACATGATGGTAGAAGTAGTACAGTACAGTTACAGGGCGCCTTGAGCTTTTCGTAGCTAACAGGACAAAGAAGGCAATTCAGAGGGAGAGAAGAAGCAACACGCAACAACATGCAACAACTCTGAGACAGGAGACAGTACTTACAGAGGGCAAAGTAGAAGCACCGTCATCTTCTCCGTCCCCTGAGAGCTCGTGGAGGACGGTGTTTGCGAGGCCTGACAAACGGCTCAGCATCTTGAGCCTTCAGGAGGACAGCAGGGAAGAAGAGAGAGAAATGCAGATGTTAACAAAGACACATTTGTAAATGTGTGCTTTCCCTTCTTCAGAGAATGACTCTTGGCTTATCCACAGATTGTCTCAGCACCTGTAATTTTGGTCCCAAAAACTGCCCTCAACTTACCAAAACAAGTAACTGTGCACAATGGTGTATAGCAGGTATTCGGGCAAACTTGGGCCCTCCAGGTGTTTTGGACTTCAAAACAGGCCCAAAACACCAGAAGGGCCCAAGTTTGCCCATGCCTGGTGTAGAATCATAGAATCCTAGAGTTGGAAGAGACCTCCTGGGCCATCCAGTCCAACCCCATTCTGCCAAGAAGCAGGAATATTGCATTCAAAGCACTCCCGACAGATGGCCATCCAGCCTCTGTTTATAAGCCTCCAAAGAAGGAACCTCCACCACACTCAAGGGTAGAGAGTTCCACTGCTGAACGGCTCTCACAATCAGGAAGTTCTTCCTCATGTTCAGATGGAATCTCCTCTCTTGTAGTTTGAAGCCATTGTTCCATTGCGTCCTAGTCTCCAAGGAAGCAGAAAACAAGCTTGCTCCCTCCTCCCTGTGGCTTCCTCTCACATATTTATACATGGCTATCATATCTCCTCTCAGCCTTCTCTTCTTCAGGCTAAACATGCCCAGTTCCCTAAGCCACTCCTCATAGGGCTTGTTCTCCAGACCCTTGATCATTTTAGTCGCCCTCCTCTGGACACATTCCAGCTTGTCAATATCAAAACAGGTCCAAAACACCTGAAAGGCCCAAGTTTGCCCATGCCTGGTGTAGAATCATAGAATCCTAGAGTTGGAGGAGATCTCCTGGGCCATCCAGTCCAACCCCATTCTGCCAAGAAGCAGGAATATTGCATTCAAAGCACTCCCGACAGATGGCCATCCAGCCTCTGTTTATAAGCCTCCAAAGAAGGAACCTCCACCACACTCAAGGGTAGAGAGTTCCACTGCTGAACGGCTCTCACAATCAGGAAGTTCTTCCTCATGTTCAGATGGAATCTCCTCTCTTGTAGTTGGAAGCCATTGCTCCATTGTGTCCTAGTCTCCAGGGAAGCAGAAAACAAGCTTGCTCCCTCCTCCCTATGACTTCCTCTCACGTATTTATACATGGCTATCATGTCTCCTCTCAGACTTCTCTTCTTCAGCTAAACATGCCCAGCTCTTTAAGCCGCTCCTCATAGGGCTTGTTCTCCAGACGCTGGATCATTCTGGTCGCCCTCCTCTGGACACATTCCAGCTTGTCAACATCTCTCTTCAGTTGTGGTGCCCAGAATGGGACACAGTATTCCAGGTGTGGTCTAACCAAGGTAGAATAGAGCATGGGGAGCATGACTTCCCTGGATCAAGACACTAGACTCCTATTGATGCAGGCCAAAATCCCATGGGCTTTTTTTGCCGCCGCATCACATTATAGGATCCAATGCCCTGCCCTTCTCAGTTAGAGAAAGTCTGGCTCTCCAGGCAGGGAAAGAAGATACAAAAAAATGAAGCCACATGCTTGCCTAGGTGAACCTATGACATGCGTGTCAGCTATTTTTGATGACACGCAGACACATGTGGCTACATACAGAGAAATACACCTTATAAGAGCCAATCTAATTCCATCCTTCAATTTGTAAAAGGCTCTACAAATTTAACATCCGTACGTTTGAGCATTGTTCACTCCATAACTCAGCATGGATTATACATTTTTTTTTATTTAAACTATAAATATTGCAAAATTATGGATTTTTTTTCTCAAAGTGACACTCCACCCAAGTTATGCTCAGGTTTTTGGCAAATTTTGACACACCAAGCTCAAAAGGTAGCCCCTAGCCTGTGAAAAACAAGAATTTCCATTTTGCTGAGTCCAGAATCTGGAATGCATCCCAAGGTACGTTAAGTGGGACAATTCTTAACTCATGCATAATCTTAAAACCACCTTCCTAACAGATCCTTCCCTGGAAGGCCACGGGGAATGACTAGAGTACGCAAGAAACAGATATATAAATGTACATACTCCACATTTGAGGTTCAACTTTTGCGTATTTTATTATCCACAGATTTAATTAATTTGTTCTAAGAATATCTCATTTCTCCAGTACAATTCTAGGTCAACTTCCAGCAAAAGAATCACAGATGTGGTTGATTTGTTCTCTCTTGGAAGTGGATCACAGAATTGTGCCAAAGGACCTGGGGATTCCTAGAGCAAAAAAAATGTTTTTACATTTGCGTTTTTCCACTTTTGAGGGTGTGCTGTGCCCCATTCCAGCAAATGTGGAGGGCCTACTGCAATTCTTTTACTTCCGTTTGCAGAGAATAATCTTGAACACATGACTCCAGCAACAAGTTCCTGCAAGAACTATAAACCTTGGGTGTGGATGTCTGTTTCATTGTTTATTTTTGCACTGCATTATGCATATGTGGAGCTATAAGCATTTTTAAGAGTGCAGACTTTTATGAATTGAGATCATTGATAGGTGTGCCTGCAAATAAGTTTTGCAGCTGCACCAAACACCTGGAAAGAAACTGCATCTCTGTCCAGGAACTTGGAGATTCTTCAGAGAGAAGGAAGAGCAAGAGGGGCAAATGGGAGAGTGAATAGGAAGCCGGGTCTCTTCATATGAAGAGACACACAAACTGGGTTGTTGTAGGTTTTTTCGGGCTATATGGCCATGTTCTAGAGGCATTTTCTCCTGATGTTTCGCCTGCATCTATGGCAAGCATCCTCAGAGGTAGTGAGGTCTGTTGGAAACTAGGAAAATTGGGTTTATATATCTGTGGAATGACCAGGGTGGGACAAAGGACTCTTGTCTGTTGGAACTAGGTGTGAATGTTTCAACTGACCACCTTGATTAGCATTTGATGGCCTGGCAGTGCCTGGAGCAATCTTTTGTTGAGAGGTGATTAGCTGTCCATGATTGTTTCCTCTCTGTTGTTTTGCTGTTGTAATTTTAGAGTTTTTTAAATACTGGTAGCCAGATTTTGTTCACTTTCATGGTTTCCTTCTTTCTGTTGAAATTGTCCACATGATTTTTGTGGATTTCAATGGCTTCTCTGTGTAGTTATGAGATGCATTGTGTTGTTATTGTTGTGTTGATATTGTATATTGTGCTTTTATGGTTTTAAAATGTATATTGTTGTTGATTATCTTGTTGTAAACCGCGTTGAGTCGCCAGTTAGGCTGAGAAACGGCGGTATACAAGTAAAGTAAAGTAAAGTAAATAAATAAATAAATAGCCTGACATGGTGGTTGTGAGAGTGGTCCAGCATTTCTGTGTTCTTTCCACAGATATATAAACCCATTTTCCTAGTTCCAACAGACCTCACTACCTCTGAGGATGCTTGCCATAGATGCAGGCGAAACGTCAGGAGAAAATGCCTATATATGGCCATATAGCCCGAAAAAACCTTCAACAACCCAGTGATTCCGGCCATGAAAGCCTTCGAGAATACATTAGACACACAAACCATTTTCAGAACAGCAGCAGACACAAATCAGGGGCTTGCCAACACTTGACCCCTCATGTGTGGTCCCAAGGCTTTGCACCTAAACACCTATGTTGGCAGAAAAGAGTTTTCCTTGTCCTGTTCAAAGATACGAGGCAGGCTTGTTTGTAGTGGAGTTCCGCTCTGCATTATCAGCCGGAACTCCATCCAAGGCCTCCTGATAAGAGCTTCTGGCTCAATCTCTTCTGGCATTTCGGCGCAATGCTATTCTTAGAGGTAACGGGCTCAGGTCTGAATCTGCCAATCATGTTCCACTTCACTGGATGGGAGAGTCTCCTGCCATGAATCTGCAAGTCCCTCAGTCCAGAACTGTGTGACAAACCCACTATGAATTGCTTCCTTAAACCATGGCATTTCTCCAATTCAACCATTATCTATATAAATAAAAATGTAATGTTTGTTTGTGGGATGAACATAACTCAAAAACCACTGGATGAATTGACACCTAATTTGGACACAAGACAACTCTCGGGCCAAGGAGTGACCATCACTCATAAAAACAATGACAAACACAGCAGAAGGGACTTAAAAAACAAAACAAACATAACAAAACATGCACAAAACATGCACAAAACTACATATATACATGTAAACACATAGACACAAATATATATACACACAAAACACATATACACAGACTGGGCCACAGCAACACATGGCAGGGGACTGCTAGTAACCATTAAAAAGTTAGAAGAACTGACTAACTACACACAACTGATACCGTAATGTTGACAAAGGGTTTTGAACCACTAAAGAACTCGAATGGTGGTTACCAATCTGTTGTTGTTGTTGTTGTTGCTGGTAGTATTATATTTGTATACTAGCTTGGGGATCTGGCAGTGCCCGGGTTATTTGAGAAAGGCGTTGTTTGTCCGTGATCCAAACTGAATCTAGATCCAATGTCAGTTGGGTTCAGTGAGTGTGGGTGAACTACAACTCCCATATGAAAGTCCCATCATCTACGACCCCTTCTCCTCCAAACTGCACCAGGATGCAGAGTGGGTCATGGGGGCTCTATGTACAAAGTTTGGTCTTGATCAGTCTTTGGTGTGTGTCGCAGTAGTCTCAGAAAGTGAGTGAAGGTACTGCAAGTCCCATCATGGTCCATTGTCCTACAAAACACACCAGGATGTTGAGTGGGTCATGGGGGCTCTGTATGACAAGTTTGATCTTGTTCAGTCATTAGTGTGGGTAGGAATGGTCTAAAGAAGTCAGTGAAGATACTGCAATTCCCATCATACATGGTTTTTCCTCTCCCAAACCGCACTAGGATGTAATTGTGTCCAATTCTGGGCACCACAATTGAAGGGAGATGTTGACAAGCTGGAATGTGTCCAGAGGAGGGCGACTAAAATGATCAAGGGTCTGGAGAACAAGCCCTATGAGGAGCGGCTTAAAGAGCTGGACATGTTTAGCCTGAAGAAGAGAAGGCTGAGAGGAGATATGATAGCCATGGATAAGTATGTGAGAGG